TCTTTTAGAAATGCGTTGAAACCCAAAAATAAAAACTGGCGTTTTAGTCCGTTATAGCAATGAACGCGACGAAACGCGATGTTGAGTTTCGCGCTCCAAAACGTTTTCTTTTTAGATGTGAAAACTAGAAAAACAACTATGGCGTTTCGTCGCATTTGTAAAAAAAACGGACTAAAATGCCAGTTTTTATTTTTGGATTTCAACGCAGTTTTAAAAGAAACTCAGTTTTCCTCAGTTTTTTCACGAATGCGACGAAACGCCGTTTATGTGAGGTTCTACTCACTCACTTCTCATGTTTATTTAAGAAAGTGAACGGCTATATATAGTACAAGTTGAACAACAGTTATGCAAGAGTTGCGCATGAGTTACATAGAAACAGAAATAGTTTAGGAAAATCCCATTATGAAGCAAGAGTTGCGCAATAACAGAAAGAAAGGAAAAGAAGAAGAAAACACAGTCTTATGAGCTGCCAGGAATGGCAGATCATAACAGTTTAATTTCGCGTTCCAATACGTCTTTTTTTAAACGTGCCGAAACTAGAAAATGAGATATGGCGTTCTTTCTGTTTAAATAATTCAGCGTTTAATTTTAACTAAATGAAACGAAATTCATCTTGTATTATTTTAGTTCACCACCTTATTCTGGTGAATCGGAAGGCTCGATAGCCTGTGGTGCTGATCTTAAGCACCACTCGCGGTACTGATTTTAAGTACCACTATCCTGGGCTACTCCCCTAAGTCTAACGACTCTAGGAAGAGACAAACTTAGAAAATAATTCTAAGTCAAATGTAATGAATAAGTAACGCACGACATCATGTAAGTCTGCCTTATATTCCGCTTTTTCATTTTGTCGAAGTCTTTTTTCCTCGTTTTTGAAGAAACGCGATTAAAGCCGTTGTTTTATATCTTTATTGTGTAAATAATAAGGCCAGCAGCGGACCATTTTAGGCCATGCATACTATAGGCTACATTAAGTGATAAAGTGTAACAGGTGGAGGATGAACAGTGAAATAATATATTAAAAAAGTTAAAAACGTCAAGAAAAGCGAAAATAACATAGACTAGACGGAGAGACGTGGCGTGGACTAATTTAAATTTTATTAAAACTTATTAACGTTCTACTAGCTAATCTTCAAATCTGTTAGTTTGTTTAACGTAAAATACAACTACTTTTAAAACAATAGAAAGTGAAACATCGTCTAGATTAAGATCATTCAGCAATAGCGTGTCGACTGTAATCGTGGTCAGAAAATGTAGTTCGTGTTTCAGATTTTGTCTCTCATTGTGATAGAGACGGCACTGCAGAAAGTAATGTTCAACATCCTCCTTTCCATTCCCACATTTACATCTAGGCGAGTCTATACTTTTTCGTTTATGCAGATAAAAGTTTAAAGGCGGAAAACCAGACTTTAATCTCATAAAAAAGATTTCATCTCGTCTAGCAGGAAATTTTAGTCGCTTTGGAAATAACTTGAATGTTAAAAGCTCAGATTTTAATATATTGCGCATTTTTGAAATCTTCATTGTTAAAAATTTTGGATCTTTCTGTATCAGATTATTCCATTCTTTAGTTACTACAGTAAAAAAATCGTCGTCAGTACTGTCTACCAGATCGATTGTAGATTTTTGATTACTACGTAAACTATATCTATCATGTGGCTGATGGCATTGCAAATGAACATTAAGATATTGAGGAATAAAACCTTTTACTACTTTTGCAAAAAATAACAAACGAAGTATTCTAAAATGATCTTTTATTATGATCCAACCTAAAATATCAAATAATTTGTCCTTCGCTGATCCCTTCATTGCCCCTAAGGTGGCTAAAGCAGCATAATACTGCATACTCTCCAGTTTCTTCAAATTACTCGATGTAGTCAATGAGTAAATGACAGCACCGTAGTTCAAAGTTGATAGTACACAAGATTTAAAAATAATTTCAAGTGCATTTTTAGTCAATAAAAGCTTATGCAGTTTCATTAATCCTACAATAGACGATGCCTTAGTATGCACCTTCTCAATGTGATATGTCCACGACATGTCACTCGTAAAAAACATACCTAAGTATTTAACTACTTCTTTTTGCGTAATCGGAGCACCGTATAACATCAAGGATGGTAAGGTTGATGCTTTCTTACTATAATAACGCGAACTAAAAGTTATTGCGTCACACTTAGCCTGATTTAAAGGAATATGCCATTGCTCTGACCACTCTTGTATTCTAACTAAATCTCTATTTAACTGTAGTGCACAATTTAGAGGATCATCCTCATGATTTATTAAAATTACATCGTCCGCAAATAATCTCACAGTACTTTCTATATTGTTTGGTAGATCGTCTATATAAACCAAGAACAATAAAGGACCAAGGACTGATCCTTGTGGCACTCCTTTTGTGACCAGCCGTTTCTGAGACATTTTACCGTCAAGCATAGTCTGAATAGTACGATCTTTCAGATAACATTCTATCCACTTTAAAGCTTTACCCCTTACAACTTTTTTGTAAAGTTTCAACAGTAAACATTCATGATTAACGTTATCAAAGGTTTTTTTAAAGTCTAACAATGCAGCGCGAATAAACTTATTAGCAGTTACACCAAGTTTTATTTTGTTTATGACATCCAATAATAAATTAGTCGTGCTACCTTTTGCTACGAAACCAGATTGAAATGGTGATAAAAGTTTATTTTTAACAAGATGATTATAACTGCCTGTGGACTAATCTTTCTGGAATTTTCAATAACGCTGGCAATAAGGTTATAGGATTATAATTTGGTGGATCTAAAAAATCACCACTTTTATATAACAGATTTATCACACCATTCTTGCAGCGATCAGGAAAAACAGAACTCTCAAATGACTCGTAGACTAGTTTAGTGAGCGGTGTTACTAAAGAGGGTACCATTTGTTTTAACATACGATTAGTTATTCCTGGCGAGCATGCGTGACTCGGATCAAGCTTACGTAAAATTTTTTCAACATCCGGTTGCTGTACCTTAAACTTATCAAGTATAACTGTAGATTCAGGCAAAGCATCAGCAACCTTTGGATCGATCTTAGGTCCAGTCCATGTAGTTACTTCTGCAAAGTAACTATTCAAAATCTCAGTCTTCTTTTGTACATCCACTATAACTTGCTTTTGACTATTGTATAGGGCTGGAATAGCAGTTGTTCGACCTCTACCTAATATATGTTTCACTAAACTCCACCAACTTTTAGAAGAAGTAAGAACTTTCTTGTTTATTCTCTTATAGTAGTTTTCTTTTGTGGAGAGACACGCTACTTTAAATTCATTAGCAACTTCTTTATACAACTGCAAGTGGTAAATCGAACTCTTACTTTTACGGTATAGCTTACATTTCTTCTTATATAAAATACGTAATTTATCATCGAACCAAATTTTGTCTCGTGGGTTAACAGTTAAGTCTTTATAAGGTACATAGGTCTTAATACAATCAACTAAGATTTCTTCAAAGGCTTGGAACCTCTCATTAACATTGTTATAATTTTTCAGAAGCTGCTCTAACGGAATTTCCTTAAAACGATTATTTATGCTCTCCCAGTTAACAACATTATATTCGTAAATCATACGTTTTATTTTATCTTTACAAGCTATGCGCGAGTTAATTCTAAATTCTAGAAAGTTATGATCACTGCAGTACAATGGCGGATGGATAGTTAGATCACAGACAAAAGAAGGATCATCTGTAATTACTAAATCTAAACATGTATTTGATATATCTCTAGTTATCCCACGAACCAGCTGATACATTGTTACAGAATCAAGGAATTCGGCGAACTCAATACCGTCCTTGGCGGAGGAAATGTGATTATTAGACCACAATTTGTTGTGTGCACTAAAATCTCCTACTAATAAAATCCTGTCACTTTTAAACTTTGATGTACACGTAAAGGTGGCCGAAACCATATTTGAGGAGCCCAGATATGTATTGTTTCACTCGACAGAGAAAATTCTTCGCTTTCCAACGGTTTATTGGAGTAATAATATTAGCACCAGTACTAAATATGTTGCTGATGTTTCTACTTGCGAACCGGTTAGTAATGTACACCTTGCAGATAGTGGATTGGCATCATGGAAAATCATGAAACTACAACATGGTTCATGATGACGAAGCTGAGACGTATGGAAAGCATAGTGTATTGATAACTTCATCATTGGTTCATATATTCAGCCATCGACGTAGAATGACTAAGTGTTGAAATTGTTGTAGCATCACATAATACATGTCAGACAAACTATAAACCAATGTATGAAATTTGTAGTCTCAATGATTTGATAAGAAATTTAACATGTTCAGACGAAAACGAACAACTCATGTTCATGTAATGAAAAATGAATTATTATCAACTCGATTTACAATGGTCCGGTTCATTCTCGTACTCCACATATCCCCATTCAAAGTCACAAACATCAATTATGCTGCAGTGATTTTGTTTCGCAAAAATGGTCACTTTCGATTAAATCGTCAATTGTTCAAACTATAAAGATTTCAGACGCAGCGGCGGTTTTTCATTTGATATGTTACCGGCATTTTGCCAGTTATCAACCATAACTATTTCGGATGCATTAACTGTTTTTTGTTCTCCAGCATATGTCTATAAAAAACTTCGTCAGTCCACTTACTACATCTAGTGCATTTGGTTTTGAAAAGATGCAGAAAAAGGTTTTCCAAAATTCCTCTCAAAAGTCTCACGTCTGAATTTTGGAGAAACGAAGTCCAGCAAAATGTTCGTGTGTATCGTGTGGCACGTTTCCTGTCAAACAAAAATAGTCATATTTGAAACACGAAAATATAGTTATATATCCCTCTTCTGTGGAATGAAAAATGTAGTTGAAAAAATTCAACCTTTTGAAAAAATATTTTATTTTATTTTTAGCTATCTTTCACCATATCGTGATCTGAAAAGTAGTATTATCATGAAGTGTTTATTACAATCGTAGATTAGGAAAACTCTTCAGTCTAAAGGGATTTAGTCTGATGTCAGCTAATGCGACACGGAAGGACCCGCAACGAATGTTAAGGCAAGCATTAACGTAGGTTCATGACGCAAAGCTTTCGACGATCATGGCGCCTGTTTTCGGTTGTAACCCGGATCGACACATCGTCGCTAAGATAGGAGGTTTTGAATTCGTTTCATTTTCATTTTCACTTCATTTTCGGTTTAGAAAAGCTGTTACTTTACTATTTATAATGGTGTTAACAAGGAAAACTAAACCGAAAGTTACGGCTTACAAGAAGAATATACCAACAGGGCGCTCATCAAAAAAATTAACTAAACAACAGATGCTCTCTGAATTAAAGAAAAAAGGCGTGGTTCTACCACCCACAATAAAAAAGTCGTTTTGGAACAGTTGCACGTTTTCTGGAAATGGTAATTTTAATAAACATACGCAGAGAGATGATTCACCATCAATTAGTTCATCACCAGCGGGTTCATGGCCATTATTTGCGTCTCGAAGTGTTGCCAATTTAGACGATGATGAAGATACAAATAAAATGAATGTTACGAAAATTGCACCACGTACGTACAGTTTATGTAATTGTATAGATAGTAAGACTCGTGGTGGAACAGGTAATACTAATATTAATATAACAGAATATGTAACGCCGAGTCCCCACAAGGCTATCTGTGAAGGTCGTGACGTTTCGCTGCACCATCTTATAATGCCAGCTGAAACAGCAGCAGCACAGTAACTTGATGATCATAAAGATGTTAGTTCTTTAACGTTTAAACAATTTGATCCACGTCTGTTTAAATCGTTAAGTCTATCTGAATTTGTTTTGGCTTTTGTTAAATTTTTAAATGTTATGTGCGACGTGCATCCTGAGCATCGAGAGGAGCTTACTGATTACCTCAGTTTTATTGTTAAAATGGCCACAACGTTTCCACCACCATTGTTTTTGAATACCATAAACAGTTTTCTAGTAAAACTGCTACAATTCTATCTACAAGTGGAGTGAAAATTGACTGGTCGGTGTAAGATGATGAACTGTATTTTTCTATTTTTGTGGGATGATGTGCTCGCAATTGTGACGTAGTCATTCATCCACTGTGACATACATTTAACTGACGTGTTATTAAATAAATTAAAGGTACAGTTATGATTGGAGGAACATTCGGCTAAACATTCTACTGAGATTTGTCCTTTTACTAATATAAAAAAATTCGTTCTGCTTAATTCTGTTTATATTAAATGAAATGCCTTCAACAAATTCTGAAAAATCAGTATCATCGAAAGCTGAGCTTCAAAGTTTAGTAACATCAAATGATCCAGTAATTTCATCTAAAAACCAACAAATAAAAGAAGCGAATGCTAGACAAATTACTCTCAGATTTATCATGCAAATAATCCACAAGATTATATTATTTGTTTACAATGTAAATCTGTATTGAGATGGGCAAAAGGTCATGGAACCAGAGTGATGACTTATCATAACTGTTCGAAAAATAAACCTGTGGCAACGACTCCATCTCGACAAAGAACAATATCGTCTTATTGTACACAATCTTCATCATCAAAAGAATGTCCATTGATTCAAAAACGTATTATAGAAGCATGTGTCGAATATTGTGCAGTTGATGTACGCCCGTTCGAAAGTGTAGCTGGTACTGGATTTCAAAATTTAGCTAAACAATTAATATATGCGGGAGCTACTCTTGGTACATCTATAAATGTTAGTGAATTATTACCTCATCCAAGTACCGTAAGTATTAAACTTGCATTCCATATCGGATTCAATTACAATATTAAATATCTTTTTTTCAATAGATCAGTCGTAATGTTGAACATGTTTATTTAAACTTGAAGAAACAACTTATTTCTTTATGTGTACCATTAGAAATGTTTGAGCATCACGTGTGATTTTTGGACAGCAAAAATAACTGGTAAACTTATTGTGTTCTTTCGAATAAAATTAACTGCATCACATTTACTCTCTTTTATGTTGAAGGTGTTCATTGTGGTGGATTTAGTCTTCATTATATTGACGAACAATCTCAACTTCGTGTATTTACATTATCGTGTCAAGCATATGATTTTGAAACGCAACATACAAACAAGAATATGATCTTTATTTAAATGATGATGTATTTATCGTGACTGATAATGAAAGTAAAATGAAGCGCGCTTTTAAAGATGATTGCATACGTATTGGATGTAGTGCACATTACTTGAATAAGATACTTCAACATGCATTCACCAATAATAATGCAAATTGCGATGCTGCTCAATTATTATTCAAACTAATTCGAGCTATTATTACTAATATTCGTCAATCTCATAAGCAATCTCTTTTATCAACATGTCTAGTAAATTATTCGGATACACGCTTCAGTGGAATATATTTGAGGTTTGATTCATTTTTGAAAGTTTATTATGAATTACCACAAATTCTCAGTGATGAACAAAAGAAAAATTATTTGAAAGTTGATTATGATAGTTTGGAATCATTATGTATATATCTGAAAAACTTTTATGATGTTATTGAAAAATTAAGTTATGAAAAAACACCCACCATTCATCTTGTTATTCCTTATAAACAATTGTTAATTACTCTATCAATTATTAATGATAATGACGATCAATTAATAATACCTTTGAAGTTATACATCGCCAAAGAATTATCTAATTATTGGATTGTGAATGATGTTCATTTTATTGCAACAACGTTGCACCCAAATTTAAAAAGTTTTAATCATACACCACATCAAAGGTATCATGCGGAAGCATTATTAAAATCAGAATTTGACAAATATCAGGAACTCCAACAACAACCGTCATCATCAAATAATAACAATAAAAGAAAACAAATCCAACAGCAAAAAAATACACAATTAGCATCATTGTTAGATGATATATTTGATTTACCAATATCACCTGATGAATTAAAAGATGAAGCAGAAACAAAAACAGAATTTGACAGATATATTGAAGATAAAACCAAAATTGATAAAGATATGAATATACTAATTTATTGGAAGAACAATAAATCGTCGTATCCCACATTAGCTAAAATAGCTAAACGTATTTTATCGATACCAGCTACTAATACATCAGTCGAGAGGCTCTTTTCAGACAGTGGAAGCACAATAACAAATAGTCGTACACGTTTACAAACAAGCAAAGTAAATCAATTATTATTTATACGTCGAAATTTATCAGTATTAAGAGAATTATTTCCACCATCAATTGAACAAATAATAAAACGAAAAAATAGTAACACATCAACTACAGCAATGAAAAAACGAAAGTATTCAACAGGAGAAGATGATGATAAGGATTTATCACAAGAAGATGTAAAATAATGATGTATCGCAAGATGATCTTGGCAATGTCATTTGAAAGACAATGATGAAAAAGAAAATAATATTTGTGATGATTAAATTACGATGTGGTTAAGAATAAATCAAAAGTCTATTTTTTGTTGATACACATTTGTTATTTTTCTGTTAATTGTATATGAATAAGAAAAGTTATTGAAAATAAACAGTTATCAGGTAGAAATATTTTTATGTGTATTGAAATAAGATAGAAAGAATTTTAGGAACGTCAATTTTTAATTCTGTTCCCATTCTCATGTTCCCATTCCCTAAGTCTAAATGGGAATGAGAAAATAAGGGAAAAAAGTCGTTCTCGCAGGACACTAGTATACAGTCAGAGACGGACTCGTCTGTGGATAGACTTGTAGTCCAACTCTAGCTGCCTGACATCACTCCTCTATATGAAAATACCAAATGAACAATACTCATGAGTATCTTACCAAAAGTTATATGCGTACGCAACAATACTCAAACTCATGTGATCATCAAAATGTATGAGTACGTATGAGTACCCATCCGGTTTTTCCAGCAGAGTACTTTTTGATCTCACGCATAGATATTTGCGGTAACGGTAAAAACGTGTTATTGTTACCAATGCTTCGGTAATATCTTCAAAATTTTACCGGGGTAAACTTCGGTAAAACTCTTTTTTACCGTTACCGATGGTAATTTACCAAAAAAGTCAAAAATTCAAAACAGTAGTTGTAAAAATTCGGTAAAATCAATTTTCCAAAAATAATCGGTAAAAATAATTTTATTACCGTTACCGGCTTACGGTAAAAACTTAAAAATTTTACCGCGGTAAACTTCGGTAAAAAAATCCTTCACCGTTAATCTGACATGGTAAAATCGCACAAAGCTTTCCAAGCATTTTATTATATAACCTAAATTAATTAATCAGTTAATCAATCAGATCAGTTTATCTTCGCCCTGATGGTAAGCGACATCAATCCAAATACGATCCATTGACTACAATTTCATAGACATAAAAAAATTTCAAATTCAATTTTGGCGAAAATATGATATGCGATGACTGTCTATGGTAACTAACGCATCAATTTTTAACTGTTTGTGCTCCTTTACTAAATAAGAGAAACGTATCTCCTTTCTATCTTTCACATTTTTTCAACTAAACAGTTTTGTAGAGCGAACGTTTCTCTTCAAAATGAAATGTTTCCCAGATTTGCACCTTTTTTAAAAAACCGATATGGTCATCTTGCAAAAGGGATAAAAAACTGTTCTATAATTGCTTCATACCTGCAATTGTCACGATCTAATAAAATATATATAACTGAAGAATAAAAAACATTCACTTTCTTTTACATCAATTTTTTGCTGCAAATGCTGCTGACTTTCGTTCCAGTCTCATTTTGGACTTAACAAATATGAATAAAATAACAAGAAAAATCTGATAGAGCAATGATCGACTTATTAATCGCCGTTAGTATCTGAATTATTGTAGAGATATATCTCTTTTGTTGTTGTTGTTACAAGAAGAAACGAAAACACATCCATTATTCGAAATGTTTCTGGTTTAAGAACAACAAAAAAAACAACAGACGCATGTCGCACACATTACACACTATAGAGAGAATTGTTGAGAAAAAATCCGCAAGCAAAATATCGTCTTTATAATCCAAAAAAGTGTGTACGCAAAACACCAATAGAAAAAAAAGGAATTTATCGCAACAAAAGAGATAGTCTGACAAAAAAGGATGCGAAAACATATACATAGAGATACATACAACATAAATATACACAAATTTTGAATGAAGAAAAAAACATGAAAAGCGAAGTAGACGCTGGACTGATGAAAAAAACAACACAAACACTGCTTAAAATTCTGGTTATAATTATCGTATGAGAAAAAAAATGCGAAAATGAGGAAACTCACTAATGTATTGATGCACTTCTGCTAAACGAAGCGAAGTGTGTAGTAAAAGATACTCAGCAAGAATTCATACTTCAAACCCGTTTTACCCTCCTTATAAAGGTCTGATTCTCAAATTTGGGTATATTTTTATCCGCGCTTGGACTTTTTTTGTGAAGATAGTGTCTCAACATATTCTGGTCTAATTTTGTTGATCATTATTATTGTTGTTTGTTGTTAAAAAATTAAATTGCAATATACTGTCATCATGTGAACTGCTCACTATCTGAAATTCATCAAATTGTAAACGAAACACACGACCGGTATGCTCGGTTAATGTTCGAATACATAGAGATTGTGTTGGTGATCGTGGATCGAGTGCTTGCTGTAAATCCCATACTTTTATTTTACCATCGTATGCTCCACTGACAATACGCTTTGAATCAAATCGAATACAACGCACTAACTCATCATGGCCTTCTAATATTCGTAGACATGCACCACATTCAATATCCCATATACGACTACAACAGAGTTAAAAATAAAATTAAACCATAAATAAGGCAAAATGGTATGATGCTGCTACTTACATATGATTATCTGAACTACCGCTTACAACAATCTTATCACGATATTGCAGGCAAGCTATACCACGTTTATGACCCAATAACGTTCGAACAAATTCACACGATGTTGTATCCCACACTTTGATTGTTCGATCTCCACTTGCACTAACTAAATAAGAGAAAACACTAATAAATAGTAACCATCCGATTTTTATGCAGAAACAAAAAAGCATTTGGAATATTTCATTTGACTTTTTATTTCAGATCATTTGTTAGAAAATCAATATCACCTACCAATATATTTATCATCAAAATCGACAACATTCACAGCTGCTCGATGTCCAACGAGAACTCGACGAATGGTGATATCGGTGGGTGATACCATCTCCCAAACGGCTATACTTCGATCCTTTGAACATGTTACCATTGTTCCATCCGTAAATCGTAAATGTAAAACAGCTTCGCAATGATGTAATAATGTATTTAATAGTTCACCCGTTTTCACATTCCATACACGTATTGTTGAATCACTTGAACCTGTGATAATAACTTTTTCATCATATTGTAAACACAATACACTACCTAAATTAAAACCAAACAGTTCAAAACACTCAAAGAAATTTTGTGTTATAACTCGAACTTTGGAATTCAACAAATTCATTTGGCCATGTAATCTCTCTGAATAGTATAAACACTTCAGTCTGCTGCGCATTAATAATCTGATTATCTATAGTATTCAAAACGCTAAACTATACCACTTACCATTGTGTCCAGTTAAAACTTTTGTACATTCTGATGTTTTACGATCCCATATCTTTATTGTATTATCTCTTAGTCCACTAACAATTTTTTCATCATCATACTGTAAACAATAGACACCTTTACTATTTTGTGATCGACATTGAATTTTATGTAATGTGAAATTTCCAGTACGCCAATTTGTTTCAATCTGTTCAATATCTTTACATATTTGTGGGTATAAATGACGATAAAATTCATGTGCTTTTTGTTGTTCACCGTTTTGTAATATTTGACGAAATAAGTAACGTGACCAACCACGACGCTCCGATAAACCACGCCACAATGAATCACTTTGAACTTTTCGTTCAACTAATTTTTTCCATAACATACCTGAACAGTAGAGTAAAAGGGTCAGATTGTGAACTGTCAAACGACTGATGAAAAATAAGGATGGAAATAAACTTATAGATGTAGGTAAATTTGTAACTAATTATACCTTCTGAAACAACATGATACCATTCTCGACACACTAATTCGGTTGCTGATAATGAAGTGTCATCTAAATAGGTTAAAATTTTTTCGGCAATATGTTCAAGGCCTCGAGCTGCTAGTTGTCCAACAAAATCACGTTGTAACATTGGTAATAGATAGGAATTGACTTGTCCATGCTGGTAATGTGACATATGTTTAAGTAACGTTTCAACAAATTTAATTTGTTCAAAGTCTTGCCATTTTTCAAATGTTTGAATAAATTTATCATGATAAAATTGAAAATCAGGTGTCGTTTTTTTAGGAGTTTGAATAGGGATAATAGTATTTGATAGTGTTGGCAGTGATAATATTGGTTGATGTTGAATATCGGTAGTACTCGTTGGTGTTTGTGCCGGTGATGTATCCATTCTATTAAGAAATTTTTCTGACATTTATTTTTGTCTTTTTAGAAATGAAATGTACGCCGGCAGATGGAAAATAAAGAGAACATCTTAAAATACAAAGTAAAAGTTGTTAGTCGAACAATATAATTAATTTGGAATTGATTAAAAACAAAAAAATTGATCCACACCGTTTTTACCTTCCTCAGAATGATTTAAGAGATACAAGCGTGCATTCACAATTTCTCCGAATTACTTGTAGAAAACAGGAAAGTTGCATTCGAGAGTTATTGCTGGAAAACTATGGCAATGGTCGTTTTAGCGAGAACTTTCAGGATAGTAGAATTTATGTGTTAGAGTAGGACTTGAAAAGATTGAGAATTACTCTGCTCAGCTGACAGTGTGTTAAAAATAAACTATTTCGCGAGTGTTTCATGTATAGTTAGTGGACCAAGTTTTAAATACAGTGAGCTTTGTGCTTAAAAGCCGTAGATCGAGCAAGAGTAAGCACAGGCGTCATAATACGAATGTATGATCGTAAATATTAATAAAAAGATGTTCATCATCATCACCAGATGCGAGTGATAGATGGAAGCATGCGTATAGTACAGGTTAAACTATGGACATCAAATGGGGAAATGGTTGCTAAGAGAAAAAGATCTTTATATTTTAGGTTGAAAGCACGAAAAGGAGTTTCAAGAAATTAGAAAAGTAATGGTACGTTGGATCTTATGGAAAATCTTGAGCCTGATCAAGATTTAAGTAATGTTAGATGTCAGTATCGGACAAATACATTGTCAGTAAGATATTTCAAAAATGAACAAGCTACTACTATTGACAAAAAATTAGTTTATAACATTTTCTGACAGAATAATATCGATCATTCTTCGTTAATTGGCACTATATTTTTGGTTCACTTTCACTAAAATAGAACTACAAGTCATACTCCAATTATCATAGTAAAAATTATATATTCTTTCATTCCAGTCGATCTCTACAAAAGATTTGTAAGCAAGGAAAAAGAATTCGAGCAAACAAAGTATCCCCTGTCCGAATAGACAAATGAAAGAATACAATCGCTAGTATGACGGGCACTGAAAACGTAGTTTCTAATATTACCGTAAAATATTGAAATTCGATAATGTAAAGTGGAGAGTACCTAGATATTAAATAGTAATCGTTAAGTATAAATAGTAAGTGAAAATACCATTTCTTTAAAAAGTAGTACAGACTAAATCAAATTAAAATAAAAATGCTGTTTGTGTGTTTTGTACAAAAAAAACAATACAAAACAGAATAAAATGAATTTTAAAAATGTACTCATAATCCAAAACGTGTTGTCTTCGTCTTCGAATTACGAAAGTTCTTTTTCACAAACACATAAAAAACATCTTTTAGATAAAACGATTAAAAACACGTCCTCAATTTATTTTAATTAGCACCACTAGCCGATCTAGATATGTCATAAATTAATTGGATTAGAGTTTATAGCGTAGATCCTCTCAATGTGTTAACACAGATAACAATTTATTCACTCTTCTTTCATTAACAGTTTTTTTACACCATAGACTTGAATCACTGTCGTTTTGCTTTTTTTTAAGACATATTCAATAATGTCTAGTTATTACATTAAAGTTTTCATAGCGGTTTCAATTTAGAAATACTGCATGACAAGATATGCGCCTATAGAAACGAGAATTTACGAGGTAGAAAAATAACTGAAAACTCCACTCCAGCTCTCTCATGATATCGTTTCAGGAATCATCTATGTCTTGTAGTCTAAAGGAACTATGTATAAGAGAAATCATCAAGTGCATTTTTAATTCCTAACAACTATTTTCAATTGAAATGTATTGTATAATCTTGCTGGTCCATAGTTGAAGCAATGATATGAGACAGGATAAATATTTTTCCATGAACATTTTAATAGTTAGATCTCCATCTTGCTATTTTTCATGACACAGCTATATGTATATGTCTATATATACATAAATTAAAATTAATAAAACAACATCAAACATTTAGAACGAAAGAAAACAGACGAAAAGAGGATATCGTTCACTCAGAAAATTAGTCACATTTAAATCTTTTACCAAAAAAAACAAAACAATTTGAATTTGTCATGAATAAAAACAAAAAAAATATTTTCTAAAGACACATCACTCACATAAAAAGAAGAAAAGTCAACGTACACAACTGCCAAACACGCAAATTATTACACACAAGGAAAAATTACTCAACAAAATAGTTGTGAAAAACGAAATTGTGCTGCTAATGCACAAAAAAAAAAGAAAAATAACAATAACAAAATTTTGAGTTTTTTAGTTTAAAAGTTTTTGTTAAGTTTACACATAGGTACAGAAAAACAACATGCACTAACAGTAAATAACTAAGCTTTGTATAAAGCTTTTGAATTTGCACCACGTTTCGTCTCTTGATCTTCGTGACTCTGATATAAGAAATTAGAGAAAATATAACTATAAAACATTGTTTAGATATTTATACTTACTTCAAAAAAAATTGGATATTGCTTAGGAATATCGGCAACTTCTCGAAAACGACGTCTAAAATCAACTATTTGTAAAAGAAAAATTCTATTGAATTGAATTTTACGTTTTTTCTTACCCAATACTTTTTGTAACATCGGCATTTTTCCAATCACGCGTCCATAAACTAATACGATCACCTTTACTACGAATAGATACAACGGCACCATTAACATGATCAGTTGTATCAACATATTGATCACCAATTAAAGATAACATCTATAAAATAAAAATTCGCTAATTAGTTTATTCTAATGGGAGATTCACGTTTGAGCTTTTAATTTTTGTCAAAGACATACCGTAAATAACCAAAAGGTTTCTAATTCTTGTCCCCTTTGATTTTTATTTAGATTTAAAACCCATCGTCCACCATTTCTATTATTTATATCTTCCCACATTGGCTGAATATTAGTTTTAAAAAACATATAATCACAACCTTGTCCTATACACAAATAAAGATTAAATAAATAACTTTTATCAGATTCTCTATCGATTGACTTACCTAGTCGACCGGGTGATTGCATATGATTGTAAACAGACCAAAAACCTTCCACCGTTGACACTGTTGTAAGTTTAATTAAATTATCCTTCCATTCGGAATTTCTGTCATTTTTAAAAAACCAAAATGACCATGTATCTTCTAATGGAAAACGTAAATCTTCTGATGTCAATAATGATCTCATTTCATTCACGATGCTCGTTGTTTGAAGTTGTTCTTCTTCGGCAGCTGTTGCGGCTGCTGGTGATGTTGGTATGGAGTTCTGAGAAGTATTGGTAGGAAGTGGAGTTGATTGAGATTGATGTTGTGTAGGAGACGATGTTAAATGTGGACTTAGAGGAGTTGTTGGCGTTGCATATTGAGAAAAGTCATCATTATTTGTTATTGCTTCGGTTTTGAATTGTTCATCGTTTGATAAAGCTAGCGACGGTGGTAAATCGAATGTGGTTGATGAAGTGGCTGCAGGTGTGGCGAAGGTAGATTGAACAAGTGGAGAAGAAGGTTCTTTCGAATGACTAATCGGCGGCGAAGACATTAAAAATATCTGAAAAGAATAAAACACCACATGACTAGGCTTTAAAATATACCATAGTTCAGTGATTAGAAAAACCCTGGTTTATTATTAAATTAAAGAACCTATTTATTTATTTTGTAATCCTGATCAAATCCAGTTTCTGTCAAAATTTGAGACAATAACGGTATAGACGGTACATTATAATCGCAGGACCCCATTAGATACAATCGTGCAACAAAAAGATAACAACTCCTATAAAACAATTCTACGACAGTTATAACCAGAGTTATTTTTTTTTACCAGTAAAATCTGCTAAAACTCATCTCCAAAAAAAGTTATGAATTTGAAATGTTTTCAAAAAACGAGACAAAGTTTCTTTTTCCGCATTTCAAATCTCTGTAGATGACAAACTTTGGTTAAAATATCACATACTAAGTCTCATAAAACAACCTGTATGTTATGTGTATACTGAAGAATTAAGAAAGTACTAAAGAGGCCACATTTTATAAATACTTAGAACTTTTTAATTCATTATAAATTTTTGTTTTTGTATAACCGTACAAAAATGAAAGAACATACAATAAAAAAGAAAAAGAAAAGAAGTGCACAGTCTTAGACTTGAAAAAATATTAAACTAGTACGTAATAGAAACGAATCATTTCTACATACGTATATAAAATAGAATAACAACACATCTAACTAAACTTCAAATAAATATATTTTTGATGTTTGAGCATTAAATAATTAAACAGTTTAATAACAAAATAAAAAAAAATAAAAAAGAACTATTACTGTCCCATTGAAAATTGCACAATAGTTGTATGATAGCGTTAACTTGATTATCTATTATATATGATTCAAAAATCTTTCAAAAGTAGCATAAAAAATATTTAAACGCTTGGAAGGCAGTAGATCAAATACAAAGATTCACGCAGAATATAAATGCTGAACAAACTAACTATCCTATACGAAAGACATTATTATATAAAAAGAGTCAAAGTGTCGTATGTACACAAACAATTATTTCGCAAAAAATAATAAATGAAAACACAAAAAAAAGATGGACGTCAAAGAAAAGAATTTCAATTATCACATAATACTGTTGTATGAGAAGAAAAAAAAAGTTAAAGTTTATTTAACAATTACTTTCAGTAGTAGTAATCGTTGTTGATAACGGTGTTGATGTTAATGGTGGTTGTTGTTCATTAGTATCTGAAATATCTTTATTTAATTTTGCCAATGAATGAGTTATATCATTTAGAAAATCATTTTGTGAATATTTTAGCGTGGGTGTTTGTGGACACTTGTCTATAATACACCGATCACGTTCTTGCAACTGTTGACGTAACTGTTCATTATCTCGCATTAAATCTTGAACAGTTTTTGTTAATTGTAGTCGTTCTTGTACAAATGCTAAACGTTCATTTTGAGATGTCGTTGTTAAATATTCGATTAATAATTCTTTTTTTATCAAGCGATTATTTAATGTATCGATTTCATGTTTGAGTTTCTCAAATTCATCACATTGGTCGACTAGTGAAGATGTCATCATTACACCGTCAGAATCAGTGATATTATTATCTAAACATAAAAAGAACTGAAAATTTTCCTTCTCCATCCATTATGTTTTATTTCTTCTAATTCATTTACCTAGTAAATCGGAATGTTGTAAATTTAATTCTTCGCGTCGTTGTTTACTGATTGTTCCTTGTGGAGTTGTTGAATAAATTTTTAATTCATATTCTTCTTGATGATTAACACCATTTTGACTATTATCGCTATTAATCAAGCGAGTATTCGCCGGAAGTGGTACTGGTTGTTGATTAAGAACTTTGACGACGTTTGATTTTAACGTTGAAAATGATTTACCCACTTTACTAACGAGACTTTTTTTTACAGGATATTTTGACATTTTTCTTATGGGAGTCGGCGCTAACGATAGTGAGCCACTTCTCTTCTCTTCAAAATAAATAACACAAAGTACCGATGGAGTAGCTCTAGACAAATCTAAATTTGTTTACCTTGTTCAATTTCATTTTGTATTTGATTTTCATTCATTGTTGGACGTTTTTGTTCTGCGGGTAGTATTTCAACTATTTCATTTTCGATTTTTGTTAAAATTGCATCGCAACTAGCCGATAGCTTTGTTTGTGATTTTCGAATTATGGATATTTCATTTTCTGTTTTTATTTCTATTACACTATGTGCGTCAACATCACCCGATACATCATCACCATCGGCCGACAGAAAACTTGGCTCTTTACACGTTGTAAATGATAAACGTCGACTAGGCAAATCATCCAATTTTGATAACATTGATACACGACGTTTTGGATTATTATTTTTCTTGCTGTTGAAATCAATACTATTCACACTTAATGTTCCACTATCGATTGATGATATTGTTGAACTTCGAACAGATTGTAATGATTTTGAACGTTGTATGGATAAAAGACGATCGTTTGAAGATAATAGTGAAGATTCGGATGAAAAGCCACTTGATTTTGTTGCGGTTGTTTGACTATCAAATACAATGGATGTTTGCTCATCGTTTAACACCTCGTCAGTGGTAGAACTGGAACACTAAACAGAAAAGAAAAACTTCAACGTTCAACTAATTATGTGTCTTTCGTCAAGCTGTGTAATCATTTGCTATGACAGATTAAGCAGTTGAATGCTAACAAACTTCGATAAGATTCACAGATGCATAGGTGCTGGATAATTGAGGCAGCCGATTGGTCGCCTGTTCAAACAGTTTGTCTCAATATCTAGCTTGTATATTAAACAATTTCGTTCCCCTTAAACAAAACAATCGAGATTGGATATCCTTTTATCGACACTGATGTTATTATCATCTTATTAAACGACAAAATTTTCGAAGTTACCGACTCTGTGTTGCTGCTAAATGGAAAAGACAGCTATTTATTATGTTTATCTTTATAAACTGTCCTTCTTTAGCAAATTTGTAGAGGACATCATTACAGAATTTCAGAACGTACTTAATACCATAGAGATAAAAGTCGTTACGGACTTACGTCAAATAATTCTTCCGAATTATCAATAAAAACCTTGATTAATGGTAACAAATTAAAATTGTGTCCTTTGATCATGTTTAAATCGAGTTTTTCCGGTGGTCGAATAATATTACTACCAAAAACTACGGCTAGATTTTCGGTATCCATTTTATTCACTGCTGATTGATCAGATATTTTTTTCATGAATAAACATAAATATTTGAGAACATGATAATTGATTTTTGGTAAATTCAGTATTGCTTGTTTTAAACGGGATATTTTTTCATCACGCTCATTTTCATTCGGATATTTGAAACGACAACCAATTTCGAGAAAATTATCAAAATCAAGATTGGGTATAATGGGTTCGGGTAAAGATTGTAAATATATTTTTAATAATGAAGAAACAGTAGCTGGAGCATAAGTTTCATCGAGTCTAACAGAAATACCACGATCATACATATCACGTAATTCTTTAATCGAAGATTGTTTGCCAGGTACACTAAAACAAGAGAAAAACAACTATACATATTTTTCTGCAGTTTGTAGCGAACATTAAGAGTAAGCGCAAGACAAAATGGTTATCACTCAAAAAAAACCCACAGCACAAGTAATTTATTCCACTACTCCTCACCATAATAAAAACGCTGATTTTATTCTCTTGAGTGTCTTTTTTTTATCAAATTTTTTTTAAGCAAATTTGTACAGAAGAATGATTAATTTTCTTTTATCATTACTCTACAAGAGTATTTCAATCAAAAAGTGTACAAAAAATAGCCTCTAACACTCACCGAAATAACCCAACATAGTCTAATCCATATTGCAAGAGATGTTCACAGCATTGCTGAACAATTAATGGTACAGAACTTGTTTTATCTTTTGCGTAATCGTATGTCTCCTGTAACGATTGACCAAAAATGCCTTTAACAATAAACAGTGGGTTGAGAAACAGTGTGATAAACTACAAGCTACTTTTTAACTATTACTCACCTCCACCATTTCGAGAAAATGCCGCTTTTTTCACCGCTACTGACCATGATTCAAGTTCTTGTTTCGTTTCAGCATTCAGCAAATCACGAGCGCCGTTCTCTAAAAAAATGGAAAATAAATCAGAACTGCGATTTTACGTTTCAGTTTTTCATACAAAACATTTAAATATTACACGTTCTTACTCCGTAAAACTACATCAGTTGGTGAGAAAAGAAGGTGCTGATTCACATTTACACATATATACCTGTTTTAAGCTATAACTATCCTCAAGCTCAGTTTTATGATAGTTAAATATTTTTCCCCATGAGATTAGGCAAAAAGTTAAACTTTCTTTCATAAAAGCTCCGATCAAAGTCTCATGTGATATCTGAATGGTCGTTTACGTGGCGCCCTGATTTCAATTATGAACGGTAAATGATTATAGTCTGAATTGGTTATTTGGGACTGGGCATGAACGTTAATAATCGAATCTTGTTTCAATTGAATCCAGTCTTGGTAATGACTATCTGGTTTTGATGATATATATATAATACCTGCTTGGGCTGTGCAATAACGGCGATGCCATCTTGAATGCGATGCTGTTTTCACTTTTAACCAACCTAAAACAGAAACGATAGTTCAAGCTTTTCTTTTCAAAACTGTGTGTCTTTTCAAAAATACCTTGTTTAATAATCGATTTTTCATTCATTCCAACTATACTACAATATGTACATGCCAAACAAAAAATTTGTTCTATTTGCAATCAAATAATCCTGTAGAAACGAGCAATCACAATAAAAGTTGCAACTTTTCTTGTATCAACAACGAACTGAAAGCACGCTAATATATGTTTGCACTGTGTGTTTTGATGCACATTCCTTGAAAGGAGAAGGATGCTCTATCCGAAGTCAGATGACTTGATTCCTTAATGAGTGAAGGACAGTTCAGATTCAAAAAGATAAAACGAATTTCTTAAGGTACCTTTTCTTTCTTTCCATCCTTTTTTTCATTGATATATTATAGCAGCAAAAAAGCTAGTGGCAGCATCGATCTTTTTTTTTCCGCCATTTTTTTGGTATTCTGCAATATTTCATTTGCGAAAATACACAGAACAAAAGAATCACACCAATCAAAATTTAAAGATAACCCTACAATACTCATGCTGCTGCTGCTAAGTATATTCTTGCGTCTAGGTATGGTTGTTTGCCGCTAGCCGTCAATTTTTCCCGTCAAAAATGGCCGCCGTCACACATATAAAAAAAGGAAAAAAACAAATTTGATTCATCAATTTTTTGAAATCCAGTTTGTAGACAAATCAATCAATCAAAACAGACAAATCGGTCCGCAATTGAAAGATTGACTACGTCTGTCGCTAAAGTGTCATCTTTTTTCATTGGTTTGTAGTATTTCAGCGAGAAAAGATATCATATTAGATATAATATGAAAGAACCAATCAAAAGGTTGATAAATATATCTGTTATCGTCTCGGATTTAGGTCAAAATTAATTTAATCCTTTTAATTCCTACAGTTTTATGGCTTAAAACAGCCTGATTGCTCTTTTATTTCGAAAATCTCTTTAGTTCGGCAGCCATTTTGTCATTTTACATAGTTTTGGATCTGACGGCTAGCGGGAAACAACCTCTAGGTATTTATGTATTAATTATTTTCATTCTTCTTTTTTTTCTTCGATCGCATATACGCGGTAAAAACTGAACAGTTCTAGTTGCGACCATTGGCAAAACAAGTTTTAATGAAATGTATATATACGACTGCATTGAGGATGTATTCAGATATTTGATTCGTCGTTTCGGAAAGCCACATATAATAGGAAAATTTTAACGAAATGCCAGCGTACACGCATCTGCATCTATCCATATTATTATTCATTTTGAATGACTAATAAAATCAACGTTGTCTGGGAATTTTATATTACTGGGTTGTGTCAAAAATACATTCGTTCATTTGTCTACATTGTTGATATTTTTAATTACAAACTCTTCCGAACTTGATCACCGTAGTTTTCTTTTTTTTTTCCGTTGAAAACAGAGTAGAAATGAATTTTTCAATTTGCAAATCCATTTGGCGCTCGTCTGATCTATTAGTCATTAGAAACGCTGAACATTGACGTCAGTTGAGCTCGCACTAACGTACATACGTTTCTTTCAGATGATATTAAGAAGAACACCAATGCATGATTTATTGAATGTTTTGCTTATTTTGCTATTAAGTACAACGAACTTTATTGACGGTAAATTTCCCAACTCTATTCATACTTAAACTCATTGAAATTATTGAATCTTTTCTTTATCACAGCCGGTGCGCAACAGAAAAGCGTTTTAATTGAAGATGTAAAAACATTAACATTGCATAAAGGACAGAAAACACAAGCTAGAAGGACATCCCCAATTCCACAAGTATGCATATTCTATCCGTAGAAGTAAAAACCATCTATTAGTTTCACTTTCTTTTGTAGTTGAAATGTACTGGAGGTTCAGCAAGGTGTGCTTTTGAACCAGACACTGTTCAATGTTACAATCAGGGATCAGATGGTGTCGACATTCAGGTAAATAAAAAATATAGAAAACCACTCCAAGAGTAGAAGTAGTACTCAGCGGATGCTATTGTGACTCTAATGGATGTGCACGCATGGCCCTCCACTACTGATTTTCGTTTCTAAGATGACAGTTCAAATTTCTTCCAGAAATTCGTAATAAAACTTTTTTGTCACCACTCATTAATTCTAGTTTCAGCATTACTTGAACTATTATCTTTCTGTGTTTGGTAAAAGAATAGAATAAAAATGTTTCATCACCACATTGGTCTTATTTGTTATTTTAGTGGGAATGTAAAGCTGAAATGCCCACAAAATATAAATTTGGACGCTTATCTGTTAGTTGTGAAGGCTACGGTTATCCAGATGATCCATATATATTGGCTGGTTCTTGTGGAGTAAGTAGTGCTTTATATTTGTATGTATACGTCCATCTATGACACTTTTTTTAGCTTGAATACCATCTTGATGCAACTGAAAAAGACTTTCATGGTTCGCAAAAATCATCAAATCAATATATTAGACAAACGTAAGTAGTTCAGTTTTGAAGGAGAAATTATTCATTATGTCAGTTTCGATATTGTTGTTTTAGTGCTGACTCAAAACCTTACTCATTTTTATTCAAAGTTGCTGTGATCGGGTTAATATTATTCGCATTTCGTGCTTATATGTCAAGTGGAAGAACAGTTGGCGGTCAAAGACCAATGTCTAGTGGCCCAGGCACGGGAGGAGGCGGTGGAGGCGGAGGTGGATTTTTTGGTGGCATGTTTCCAGGTAAAGAAATAGCATCTACGAAAGTTGCTATATCAGGTTGTTGGAATATTTCCTCGTTTTTAGGTGGCGGAAGTGGGGGTAACGGAGGTTGGATGGGTGGCCTAGGTGGCTTAGGGAATCAATTTGGAAATTTTTTTCGTGGACAAGGCAATCACGGACAACCCCCGCCACCTGGATTTCGAAGTGATTATACAGATTATGGAAGTGGTGCAAGTAAGTGAGAAAAATAAGACCAAGTTTCGGACGTATAATGTTACTTAAAAAACTTAAATCCAAAAATCTATTATCTATTTGATCCTAAATTGTTAATTTATATTGCTCGTTTCAGACTGTAATACAAATCGTCAAGGTGGCAGTAGTGGTGGTGGATTTTGGACGGGTGCAACGCTTGGAGCAGTGGGTGGATATCTTTTTGGAAATCGAAATCGAGCGTAAGTTTGAATTGAATTTGCAATTTATTTCAATGGCATAGCTGTTCAAAAAACACGAGCTAACAGAACTTGATGATTGTTATCTCCTTTATCTTTAGCCGTGAACCATATGCATCAAGAAGTTTTTACTCAAGTGACATGGGCTCGGATACGGGCAGTTTTTTTAGTTCATCAAGACAGCGTAGCACCCAGTCTCCTAGTTCATCGTCCAGTACTCATACAAGCTCAGGTAACGTATTATGCGTTAAATTCTTAACTAATTTTATCATTATTTGACTATCTTTAGGCTATAGTGGCACAACGCGCCGTTAAAACGTTTCCGATGTTTTCTTGAATAACAATGGACAATAACAACTCTTTTCTTCTTTATGATGTTCACCGTATATTTGTATTAAATATGTGCTGACTTTTTTGTTTTATGTAACATAAGAATTAATCTCGCAAACAAGATTTTCGTTGTTCTGTTTTTTATCTTTGTACATTTACTATTGTTTTTCTCTGACGCAGTAATGGAATTATAAAAAGCTTTTATCTCAATGATTATTTTGTTCAGGCGCTTCTCTGTAACTATTGCACGGCTGAGATTCGACCCGAAATATTCCTCTATCTCGGAAAAAATTGTGAAACTTTCTACAAAACTAGTGGAAAGTATGAAATTTTGTAGATTTACGATCTCTGATCGAGCACATTTCCAGAAATATACGTGTTTTGTTAAGTGACTGTTGCTTACCAGAGAGATTATATAGCGCACTTCTTTATTCGTTCATCTTCATCAAAAACAAACAATAGTTTTGTCGCTCTACAGCTATTCGCTTAAGTGTAACAATCAAATCAAGGGTGATCCTGGTCTCTGTTAGAAAATGTGTTTGTAATTTCTCCACCCTCATAAGTCGAAAGGCGAACTAGACATTCAAATTATACTTTCACTGTAAAAAGTTCGATTATAGTTTCCTGTGGAAGATCTTCGTTACATCGCTTATGGCTATGTACATTTACTACCTCAAAGCTTGTTTTAGGAAGGAGTCTCTGATGTGTTCTGGTGAAGGTCTGAAGTATTCTGTACGAATGTGTTTTCTTGTCAATGACGTCTGAAGTGAATATTTTGAAGATACTGCGGCGCTGTTGGAGTTCTTAAAACCTGCAATTGCGAACAGTATGGTGTTGGCCTAGGGTACAAAATGTATTTATAATTTCTGCGCCTTTTATTCATATAAATTGCGAAAAAAGAGAGTAAAAAAGATCTTCGTACTACGTTAAAAATTGAAATGTGTTATATATACAACAACCGCGCTGGCTTGTTTTAATGTGAATGACAAATAACCCAAACAGTTTCGTTAACACATGCGTGGGGTATATACACCATAGTTGCCACCATATCCGGATTTTCCGAACAAATTCCGGTTTGAGTTTTTCCCGGCATTTGTTCGGATTTTGAGAATTTTCTGCTTTTGGCTGTTTTTCTCTGATCATGAAGACTGTTAAGTGTCCTTTTTATCTGTAGTTTGTGGAGATTGCCTTTCTCATATTGGAGGTCAGCTAAAGTGCTAGTTACTTTTTGGATCAAAATATACATTCAAAAAACAGCGTATCGATTAAAATCGAAATGTATATTTATGTTCGTTATTTCTTGTATTTTATCAAGTAAAATCATGCCGAGCTAGAGAAGAAACCTTTTTTAGCACTCTGCCCAGTAGTAATAAGTTAAATAAGGCAGTGAAAATTGGTTTCTGTTTTATTTCAGGATTTTGAAAAAAAAATTCAGGATTTTAGGATTATGATTCCAAATTTCTTACTTGTTCAGGCGGCTGCTCTGATATACACAGCATAAATATCCACGCTGAGCGAAACCAGCAACAAACGTATTTTGACCCTTTCACAGAATCTGCTATAAATCTGCAATAGATATGCAGATTTTCACGAAATCCGCTTCACGTTGCTTGGAATCTGGCAAGGTTCTACACAAAATCTGCCGTAAATCTGTTATAAAATTGTTTATAGACAATATGTACAGAATCTGTTGAATTCTGCTAAAATCTGTGTTCGGTCTATACCGATTTTGTACAGATTCTGCTTGAATTCTCATACAAATCCTCTCCACATTCTACATAGAAATATGCGAAATTACAAATTCTCTGCAGATATCTGCACACGTTTTACTTGGGAACGGTTCAACTTTGCAGATGTCGCTTTAATGCCATAATTAAACGATCATTAGGAGTCAGAACAATTACTGTTAATTTTTCGGTTTTGAAATTCATCATTCAGATAATCACGATATAATAAAATATATGTACGCATTTTTCACAAGCTTCACAGTAAGTCTGACAGATGGTCTAAATGAAGTATTAGTAACCAATAGTTAAGATGAAGGAAACTGCAACAATCTTTGAAGTGAAGGAGAACAACAACAAACGAATCAACCACTTTTCGCTCTGGAATGCAATCGCAATTAGAGCCTTTTTTCAGAACTTTTGCTTTTGGATATAAAGAGATTATATGTGTCCGATGCTAATTCGTTTTGCGTTATCACGTTTGTTTCTTTTTGTTCACAAGAATTTAATGAAATCCCATTAACACTTTCGGTCTTCGTGGCTTCACATACCTCCTGAAGCTTTATTAACATTCATTGTTGCGCATTCCCACCATTCAATGTAGTTGAAATCATGGGATAGGTGAAGATTTCTCTTTATTCTTGATCGTAAACGTTTGTTGGGACTTTTTTATAAATCTTCCAGTAGAGGTATAAAGTTTCATATTATCTCTTTCAGATAAGAAAAAATAAAAATGAGTGCTAATTCAAGAGAAGAAGAAGTTCAAAAGGTAACAAAAAGCCAAAAAATAATAAAAATGAGAGTAACCTTTTTCTTGTTCATAGGCACTTGGCCAACTTCAAATGAAAATGATTGATATCCAAAATTCATTACGAAAATCGGGGGCACAAATTGAAGGTTATAAACGAGAAATTCAACGTTCGAAGTTAACAGACAAAGAGATAAACTCATTAAAAGCAAATGTGCCCATGTTTAGTCCAGTTGGAAGAATGTAAGTATGCAAATCATTATTTTGAATGTCTTTATATCTCTGATATTCATAGGTTTGTTCAAAATTCAAAAGCAGAAATACGTGAACAAATTGAAAAGAAGATAAAAACGTGTGAAGATGATATTAAAAAACAAGAGGTAAGGAAACTTCATATAGCTTGAAACCTTCTAACTTTATTTTGTAAAAAATTACTAAAGCTAGTTTTCGTCAGATCCTCTCCCGCTCAAAAATAACATTTTTATTTAAACTAAATTATGCACTACTGTTGGGTTATGCATATCAACATTTGAGCTGTCTACTTTCAGAACCTGCTGCACTTTTTGCCCCCTACAATTGGTTCCCTTAGGCTTTTTACAAAATTTTTCCGAAACTTCCGAGAAACAGAGTTGTTATAAACTGCCATTGTTCTTCTTCTACGCTTCTTTAATTCCTTGTTTGAATATGTGGATTTATAGAGCAAATTCTTCTTTTTGAAACAAGATGTTGCACAATGCTGTGCAACTTTGCACATGAAAGTTATAAGTGTATTCCACAAATCTTAAAATACATTAGATAATGTAAAACGTATCATCGTGTTTGCAATTTTGATGCTACTGTCCTCCATTAATGTGCGTTTTTCTTCGCAACAATGCAATGTCTCCTAACAAAAGTCTTGCCTTCCAATGCTTAGACAACATGCAGAGAAGATGCGCTTGTACAATCTTTGAGATTTGCTTCTATTAGCGAGAAAAATGCAAGTCTATGATAGTATCAATCTAATTTCTTTCATCATTAGGTTGCAGAATAATATGTGAAATTTAAAAAGTTTAATCGAATCTAAGAAACGTATAAAATTTACTGAAAAGTCGTTTGTCGTGCCTCATATTCAGGCCCATTTTAAATTTCTAACCTTAGTCTTTGTACTCTTTTGCTATCGAGGATTGCTTACCTTTGAATAGGTGATAATCTTTCTTTCTTTTTCAGTCGTCAAAATCTTATTTGGAGAAACAAATGAGAGAATGTGAATCACAATTCAAAGAAAAACTTGGTCCAATCACAACAACAAAAAAACGTTCTTAAAAGTACTTATTGATTACTTCTCTTTTGTTTGCATTTTACTACTTAATTTTGTGATTGCTCCAGCTTGTTATTTTTTAATTCCTTTTCTGTCAGTTGCTTGGTCTCAATAAAAAACTGAATGAGGGCACATTTTTTTCGTTGTATTTGTTTCTGACTTTAGGAACTCCACAGAAATAAACTTTTCTCATATGAATAATTTATTTTCAGATATAATACACTATTTATCTTTAACAATGGCAAATAGCACTGATCAACCAACACAACCACAATTAAGGTATATCTCTATTTTATTATTTTATCTCACTTTTCGATTGTTTTTTATGTAGTGATGGTTTTCTATTCGGCATTGGCAATCCTTTACTTGACGTTATTTCAGATGTCACAGTACCGTTTATTGAAGAGTAAGGCTAGTATTGTTTTCCTTACCCACAGCTAGTTACTCGATCGTTTTTTCTTTTGAATATTAGATATGGCTTGAAACCAAATGATGCAATATTATCTCGAGATGAACATAAAGATCTGTAAGTAGACTTTAATGGTGTAATACTGGAACAAGAATTTTATTTTAAAACTAGAATCGAACGACTTTTACGTGACTGTACTTATGAATTTATTGCCGGTGGTTCAACGCAAAATACAATGAGAGCAGCGGTGGTAAGTATTCTAGAGTTAAATTTGTAAATGTTAATTTGCTAAATTATCTGTTTAGTGGTTGCTTCAACAACCAAATGTCGCTACATACATGGGCTGTGTTGGTCAAGATAAATATAATCAATTGCTGCATGTAGAAGCATCGCGAGCTGGCCTTATTTTATCGTATCAAGTCGATCCAGAACATCCAACAGGAACGTGTGCTGTATTAATCACAGATAATAACAGGTATTCATTTTCTTGAATTAATAAGTGTGTCGTAGACACTTGCTTCTGCTTTTTTCTAAATAGATCATTAGTTGCTAACCTTGGTGCGGCTAATCATTTTACAATATCACATTTAGAAAAAAATTGGAGTTATCTTGAAAATGCAAAAATTCTTTACACAGCTGTAAGATTATGTTTTATTACAATTGCAAAGGAGAGAAAGTTAAAAAGTTCATAAAGATCACGAGTAGTACTACAATACAGAAAATCTATTAGATGGTATTCAGTGATAAATTAGTAGTTCTAAACCTTTATATAATCCTTTTAAATTATGAAAATGTGTAACAATGTAATCAGTGCATTTTCTTTTTGTAAAATCACTTTCGTTCACATCTTCATTTTACAGGGTTTTTTTTACACAGTGTGTCCAGAAGCTGTTATGAGTATTTGTGAACATTCAAATAAAACTGATAAATACTTTTGTACAAATTTGTCGGCTCCATTTATTTGTGAACATTTTGGAACCCGATTAATGGAGGCAATGCCCTATGTTGATTATCTGTTTGGAAATGAAACAGTAGGTATATATTTATACTTTTTATTGTGTCATAACACGCTTTACGTTTTTTTTATAGGAAGCAAGATGTTTTGCCAAAACACAATTGAAACTAGATGTAGGTTGAAGGATACATTCTCTATTATTCTTGTCAGTTAATATACCTTTACTTAGACTGAAGATGTTCGTACTATAGCCAAAGCATTAAGTGAATTACCAAAAACAAATAGTAAACACCCGAGAGTTGTTATTATCACTCAAGGTTCAGATCCCACTGTAATGGCGACAAGTAAGACAAATAAATAAATATCAAAATACTTCTCTAGTACTGCTTCTGTTTAAGATTCTGAAGTTCGAAGTTTTGTAGTAAAAAAACCATTGGCGATTGTTGATACAAATGGAGCTGGAGATTCATTTGTTGGAGGTTTGTGTTTTTAATCTGTTCTAGTTCCTAGTTCTATTAACATTTAACCATATTATCTATCTCTTTTTTTCCCATAGGATTTCTTGCGTATTTAGCATTAAATAAAAGTCATGAGGAATGTATTCAAGCTGGTGCATATGTTGCCTATGAATGTATTCAACAAATCGGTTGTAAATTCCCTCCTAAACCAACATTTGATCCACAAATATTTTTACCTTGAAATTAGTATCAAGAAAATATTCATTTTGATAAGTGTGATCCTTTTTTCCAACATGGCGTTGACCAAAATTATTTTATTTAAAATAGAAAAGACTAGTTTTAGTAATACAAGGTAGAAATATGTAGTTTTTGTTGTTGGATTGACTCGGTGATGTTTACCGTTTGTAGCAGCAGTATTTTTTATTATTATTATTTTGTATTCGTTATGCAGGACAAAGAAGAGTGGGATAAACATTTGTTTTGTTTTATTTCTTGCTTCAGTTGGAAGGTAGACATCAGCAAGCTAAGGAGTAATTTCTAGGCTAATCGTAGTTACTTAAACTTATTTTTCAATGAGGTGATTGGTATGCAAACGGTTTGGTATGCCTTTATTGTGTGTCTTTTAGATAGTTTTTTTATTAGTGGATGCACCTGCGACAGTTACTAGTGGTCGTAACTACACTTTCTCTTCATATGAAATAGACAACATTGATTACCATCAAAGAATAAATTTGAGCTGTAATAGCTCAAGGTATGTTGAAGCTTTTACAGTTTTCCTAAGATAAGTGTATTGTTCTATCTAGGCAATCTTTTGAAAAAGGTTCAACTAGCTTCTTACGAGGATCTGAATTGAACTGAATCATTTTTCGTTGATCTTTTATATTACAACATAAAAGATGGGAATAAATTCAAGGAAGAATCTAATGCCAATTTGAGTACTAAAAGATATTGTCCTAAAAAGGGCGCTTCTTCTAGAAGGCAGTTTTCAAGCATAAATCTTTATTTTCTCTATCGCCGATAATAATGGGGCTTGTCTCTCTTTCGGTGAGTAGAGACAGTATAAAATTGCTGATTTCTTTCTTTTTCAAATAAATAGCTTATATCAAATCTTTATTTGTATTCAAACTTCAATTTGATTTATGTAATTCAAATCTTTTGATTAGAAATGGACAATGTTGTATTAAATGTAACAAATTCAACATCGTCAACAACTCAAACCACATCAGCCACCACTACTTCATCATCATCTCGTCCCGTTCATTCTTCTAAACGTACATTTTCTGATTCGGATAGTTCAAGTCGTACTGAACGTCATCTCTATTCATTTTCTCACATGTGGATCATCAATTATCTTTCATCATATATCGATGATTCTGGATCACCGAATTGTTTACAATCAGAACAGTTTTCACCGATTGGCACACCATATTCAAATACAAATTGGAGTTTAAAATTATATCCTAGAGGTGTTAACGATAAACAACATAATTATATTGCCATATTTCTCAAATATGTTAGTGGTACAACGGCAAATATCAAGGCAAAAGCAGAATTTAATTTGATTAGTCGACAAAATGAATTAGTCATGTTAAGATCAACAAATTTTCACACATTTAATTCTGGATCAGATTGGGGATATTCCGAATTTCTAGGTACGCAAACATTATAAATAAAAAACAAATTTGATACTTACTTTCATAGCCAGAATGACTGCAAACGATCGATAGTACGATCAAAGGTTGAAAGTGAAGGTAAAACTATCTTTTTTGAATTTTTAGATTCGACGTATTTAAATTCTCGGCGTTCAGATTTACTCAGCGATGATCGTTTACGAGTGTATGTTCGAGTTATTATTGTTGATGAAAAAGAGAATAATTTTAACAATGATCTGTTACTTCAACAACAACAGTTAGCCACTCAGTCAAAGATTACTACATCATGCAGCTCTTCATCCTCGTCTGCCTCTTCTTCATCATCCGCAGGCTCTCATCAAAATTCATCAAATCCGACAACTTCTTCTCTACCTATCACACATCATTTTTATCAAGGTCTATTCGCGGACGATAAAGAACGTTTGAAATCAATAGAATTATTATCAAAACAAATTAAAACATTGTTTGATGAACAAAAATTTACAGATGTTAATATACATGTCATACCAAAACAACAACAGAAAAAACGAACATTATCATATTCGAGTTGTTGCTCATGCTGTGAACAACAACAACAAGAAGAACAGTATACTCAAGGTAAGAAACATATCCTTCTTTAGATGCAGATGTATTTACGATAAGCCATATCCTTTTTCAGTGCCCAATAAAGATCAACATCACGATCAAGTAGATGATCAATCTTCTCGTTTAAATCCAGTCACTTCAACTGTTACATCAAGGCGTGCAACACGATCGACATCTCGCATAGCCCAATCTAGTTCATCTGATTCTACATCCTCTTGTTCAACTTCAACGCCAAATTGTGTTGAAGAATTGTCAACTCTTTCATTTAAACCTACAAAACGTTTAATAGCATGTTCTTGTTTTTGTCATCATCATACACATGTTGAATCTCGTCGATATAAAGATGAAATTCACATCGATGAATCATCATCGTCATCAACTGAATCATTACAAGACACTGCCTGTTCTCCTGTCGTACGTCCATTGGCTACATATCATGCTCATAAAGCTATTTTAATGGCGCGTTCATCTGCATTTGCTCAACAAATCAGTCATACTGAACAAAAACAACAACATTCAATAATAACAAAGCCGAACCGTACTGAATTTAATGGAAACGAATCTACAACATCAATAGACATTTATATTGATGGGTTAAAACCATCCACAGTCCAAGGTAAGTTTAATAAAAGCTCAGAATGCTGGTTATTAGCGATTAATCATTTTAGGTATGTTGACGTATATTTATGCTGGTCGAATTGATACAAAATCTTTAACTACTGATGCTCAGGACGATCAAGGTATAAATCCGATTGATTTATTTCGTGCTTCAGTATTCTATGATTTACACGAATTACGTGATATATCCAAATATCAAATGTTAGAAGCGTTGAAGTCGGACACAGCTGTGGAAATGTTAGAAGTTGCTGATGAAGCAAATGATTATGAATTGAAACAACAAGTTTTATCGTATATTCGTTCGAATGCCGCTGCTGTTTCAAAGACTAATGGTTGGCTAAATTTTTCCAAGAAAAATCCTCATTTACTTATTGATGCATTTCGATCATTAGTCACACCACCAAATACCTTAGAGTCAACAGAAACCGCTAAATGTCATCATAGATCACATGTTAAATGTTTAAAACATGAATAAAGCTCAATTTTGATGGTTGTTCTTCTGTTCCATTTACATGCACAAAACATAGTAAATTTTTTTGTTAACCGTTTATTTGATATTTACTTACGACAATCTATAAGGAAGGATCAATTCTTGATTACAGTCTAGTTAATCGTTTCATCCTTCAGTTAGGTGCTGTCAATCACTGAAAGTGACTGATCTATCCATACTACGAGTTTTGTTAGTGCTTCGTGTGAAAGCCCTTTATCTTCTGTATCTTTTCTCGTAGCTTGTTTAGGCTAATTTTTTTCTTTCCGTTTCGAATTGAATAATTTTTGATCAGTAAAAACAAAACAACTAGATTATACGTTTTTTTTTCGATTGCTCACATTTCTGTTCTCTAATCTTTTTTTCTGTTTTTGTGTAAAGCTGTGAGACTGTAAACTGTTTTTTCCTATATTCACTGAAAAGTACAATGAAGATTTCTCTGCAAAGCTGGACGCCACATCTTGTGTTTAGCTAACATCAAATAAATATCTAACTCTGTACATTCGTTGAACCCTAATGTATTGATTATGATCCTTTCTAACAGAATATTTTGGAGAAACGACATCGGATCATGTACTTTTAGTATCATTCATTAATCGTAATATTCTGATCACGTTTTGAAGCTTTACAGCGTTACAAATTCACCAATGGACCCGATGTGAAAAAAGCATTTTTCCCTATATAAAACTTTGTCGAATTGTTGCTCATTAAGAACAAACTAATATTTTCGAAAACAGAATACTCTAGTAAAGCCTACAGACTTACCGATCAAATTTTTTATGCAGAAATGCTGTCACAAAGTCTACATCAGTTGCAACGATTAAATAATATACAATCGTAAAAATGTAGAGGTCATCATGTAGAGCATATTCGGAATATATAAATCCGTCATGGAAAACCCGAAAAAAATTTTCATTTAGGGAAGAGAGCCGCTCTACAATATATTACTCCTACTCAGATTCTAGATGGAGACATGAATCAAAAGCATTTTCGAAGTTCGCAATATGAACCAGAGACTTGCTAGTTTTCGTAATGATCGATTAGTATTTATAAACAATTGTTTAATAAACCACTTAGTGAGTTTTTTTCAAAATGACATGCCAGAAAAGCACTTTTTTAAAGATAAAAATGGATTTATGATACAGTTAGTCTCTAGGAAACATGCTTTTATAATGTAGATTGCACTCAATAAGTACGAATCTGACGCTCTTTGCAATTAAAAATGAAGTTTTATAAAAAATACGAAGACTTTTCACCAGTTGACTCATTGCAGACGGCGTTCACTTATTTTGTCTCGCATGTAGCCGGATACTTCTTAGGTCTAAAGAAATATGCGACTTTTACCACCAGTATAAGATTTTTGAATGTTTTCTCAGCATTTAGGACAAACGTCCAAACCGTCCCATACAACTTTTCTACTTCATGTACCATCCGTTTAAAGCCAGTGTCCTATCTAAATATTACTCGCATAAAAATCTACTCTATTTGTATTCATTCAGCACCAAGTTCACATTTAGAGCACATTCAAGTTCAAAACTAGTAGCCGTGAAGACGGCTGATTGGTTTTTTGTGTATATTGTTGTTGAAACTGCTACTTAGGCTCGTTCACCACGAATTCGTCGTGCCAGTTGAATATCTTTTGGCATGATGGTAACACGTTTAGCATGGATTGCACACAAGTTTGTATCTTCAAATAAACCAACTAAGTATGATTCACATGCTTCTTGTAATGCCATAATTGCTGATGATTGAAAACGTAAATCAGTTTTAAAATCTTGAGCAATTTCACGCACCAAACGTTGAAATGGCAATTTACGAATTAACAATTCGGTTGATTTTTGATAACGACGAATTTCACGAAGAGCTACTGTACCGGGACGAAAACGATGAGGTTTTTTGATACCACCAGTCTAGAATATACAATACTTTTGAAAGCCCGCAAATCAAAACAGTACTACTCGAACTATAGCAACCCTGAACTATTTGCTCATACTTTAGACAAAAAAATACTTACAGCTGGAGCTGATTTTCTTGCTGCTTTTGTAGCAAGTTGTTTTCGTGGTGCTTTGCCACCTGTTGATTTACGAGCGGTTTGCTTTGTACGAGCCATTTTGAGATTAGAGTTCTAGGATTCTAAGACAGAATTGAGTTGTTGTTGAAAACAAATCTTTTCACAATGTCGATGAGATGAACAGAATTGTGTCTACACATTCAATATATATAGCTTGTAAGACGAAGAACAAGGAAAACAAAAGAGCTCATTCTTTATTGGCTCGTCAAATTTGGATGGATATGGACAGACTTCATTTTCACTTACAGAAAAACATGTGTCCACATATGTCGAATAGAGAAAACACGAAAAAGAAATCACATTGTGCTCAAACTATATAAACAGTGTTTATTTTCATAGTTTTATCACTCTAACTGTTTCGTCGTTGCAAATCGAACGTACTGAACTGTTTTTCATTCGCATCATTTTACTTCAAAACATTTATTACTAATCATGTCCGGACGTGGAAAAGGTATGTTCTAGCAGACCTCAAATTTTCATGAAGTTCACGGCTTCTTTTCTTGCGTAGGTGGTAAAGGTCTAGGAAAAGGTGGTGCTAAACGTCATCGAAAAGTATTGCGTGACAACATCCAAGGTATAACAAAACCAGCTATTCGTCGATTAGCAAGACGTGGTGGTGTTAAACGTATTAGTGGATTAATCTATGAAGAAGTACGTGGTGTACTAAAAATATTTTTGGAAAATGTTATTCGCGATGCCGTCACATATACGGAACACGCAAAACGTAAAACAGTCACAGCTATGGATGTTGTTTATGCATTAAAACGACAGGGTCGAACATTGTATGGATTTGGAGGTTAAAAATTAGCTACAACAACAAACTAAACCAATCAGCCGTCTTCACGGCTACTATTTTTTATCTCAGATGAGTTTTTAATATGCAGTTGTGCTACTCTGTAAAACTTATAAAAGTTAATATCACTTAAATTGAGTTATAATTTAGTCGGAAAAGTCCGATTTTGATTTCGGACTGGACTTCTTGTGCAACCTGGCAAACGTGTAAGGGAAATCGTGTCGTCTAGTAAACAACTAAGCACAGTTGCAACTTCCTCTTTTGTACAAAGCTAGCGCAAAATCTTTTATACTTTATACTCAATTCAAGGTGTTACTACTTACGTTCTGTGATTTAACGACACATGAGAAAAACTACTGGCAAGCTTTGGTTGGAGTGTTACCTTTGTTTGTAACTTTGTGTCAGGCGATCAGGTCACTGCAACTTGGAGCAAATACTTTGGATCCATTCGTTCATACTAAAAATACACGGAATATTTTTATCCCTTGATAAAACTGTATACATACATATCAAGACGAAACAGATTTGGCTGGATTTAGATTGGAGATGAGTTAAAGAAAATATATTTTGCAGCCTACTTTTATCGTTCCGTTAACAATAACTAAATATAAGTAGTTCCAGTTTAGAGGCATGTTGCTATATGTCTGTTGGTGCGAGGTTCCTTTTTATTGCAAGAAACCCTGAAGGCGGACGTGGTTAAAAATGGAAAAAGTTTCCGCATGCTCTCCAACCATGCAAGAACTCTCAGTGTCTTTTCGATTTAAGTATCCAGTCCAACTTACAATCTTTATTCCGAGCAATCAACAAGAGCCAGTTTAACGCAAAATCTCATTTCAATAACACGAGTAGACATAAGTCAGTATGATTATCAGTAACGTGCAAAAAAAAATTCAACTCGGAATAATACCCGCCAAATGTTTCGTGTTCATATGAATACTATGTCCGTAGATAACGATCACTAAGACGATTTATGTTTGACAGCTCCTGTAATTAGGGATTGTGTGATTATGCTAAAAATCATATTCTTTTTTCATTTCAAAGTTTTTTTCATAACGTAGAAATCACTTTTCGTTACGTAATTGTTTACAAAAGGATAAATCCGAATAGCTAGCCATCAGACTATTATAACAGTGTTTAGAGTTTTGTTAAAAATGACAAATGAGTCATCAGGTGAACGGTTTATCCTAAAATCATTCTCTACATACTGTTTGCTCTCGATCAACTCCCGACGTTAGAATTCATATCAAATAGCACTAGCATATTGAAAACATAAGATTTCAAAATTTTGAGTAGCCGTGAAAACGGCTGTTTGGGTTTTGAGTTCTTCTGCAGTTGATGATGGAGATTAAACTTTCTCAACTACAGCAGCGCTTTTTTTCGATTTTTTCGCATTTATGCCTGGTTCACGTGGTGTATCACTCCCTCCACCGGCTGACTTTTTAGGCAATAATGTTTGATTAATATTTGGTAAAACACCACCTTGTGCTATTGTTACCTGAGAGAGTAATTTGTTTAACTCTTCATCATTACGTATTGCCAATTGTAAATGGCGTGGAATTATGCGTGTTTTTTTATTGTCACGTGCAGCATTTCCAGCCAATTCAAGTATTTCGGCACTCAGGTATTCAAGAACAGCTGCCAAATAAACCGGTGAACCTAAAAAAAAAGATTTTTTAATGTATCAGTTAAGTGAAAAAATAATATTTTATCAAAGATTTTAATTAAGTATTAACGAAGCTGATGTAAACCACGTTTTGTGCGTAAATTTTGTATCCTCCACGATAATGTCTCAATTGGAATTTTTGAGACTTTAGAATTTTAAATGTTTTACCTGCACCAACTCTTTCTGAATAATTTCCACGACGTAAATGACGGTGAATACGTGAAACTGGAAATTGTAAACCGGCACGACCGGAACGAGATTTTCCTTTACCACGCGCTTTTCCACCAATAATACCACTTGATTTTCCACGACTTGACATTGTTAAAATTAATATCGTTAAAGAGCAGAGAAGAAATGAATATGTTGTATCCCCGTAGCTAGAAATAGAATGAATGGTAGCAGGAGGAATGTAGTTCATATATATAGTCATAGGAGAAAGAGAAATACACCAATCAAAACGTTTCTTTTCTTCATGCACATACACATGCGACAAGTGAAAATGCGCAATTTTGATTTGTCAATTCAGTTCTCTTTTCTGACTATAAATACAGAACGTTTTCTTCCAATTTCATCTCATTCTGACTTTGAGTTTGTACGTCTACAAGGACTCTCGCTTTCTCTTTCTTTGTTAACTGCCTAAAATTATCAAAATTTTACTCTATGGCTCCACCGGCTAAAGCTCAAACACCAAGCAAAGGTTCGAAAAAGGCCGTTACAAAATCTTCTAAAGGTCAAAAGGGTGATAAAAAAGTTAAACGTCGACGAAAGGAAACGTATTCGATTTATATTTACAAAGTTTTGAAACAAGTACATCCCGATACAGGTGTGTAGACAAGATACGTATTTGAGCCTAGTAGTATTAAATGTATTGGCTGTGTCTTTTTCAGGGATCAGTTCAAAAGCAATGAGTATTATGAACTCATTTGTCAATGATATTTTTGAACGTATTGCGGCTGAATCAAGTCGTTTGTCACATTATAATAAACGTTCCACAATATCGAGCCGGGAAATTCAAACGGCCGTACGTTTATTATTACCGGGAGAATTGGCCAAACATGCTGTTTCCGAAGGTACAAAAGCAGTTACGAAATATACAAGTGCAAAATAAACTAAAAATTGAAAAATTCTATAAAACCAAACAGCCGTTTTCACGGCTACCTAACTTTGTAATCTTATGTTTACATATAGATGATGCCGCGTTATGCATAATTTTAACCAAATTCATATAAAATGTAATAAAAAGTTGAAAAGAGATCAAATAAATTCTGGTTAGAGTTCGTACGGCTTCGTGTCTACTGAGAAGTCTTAATTCGCAAAACAATGTGTCTGAAAACGGCACTGGTAAACTCTAAATGTGTTTTGGAGTCTCTGGACCAAACAGCGATTAAACGCCGTGCTGGATGTTTTTTTGTCGGCTTAGTAAATTGAAAATTTTCTCATCCGGTATTTTTTATCCCATCGGATATTGGAGTGAAAAGAGTCGTATGAAAAAAGTGAGTAAAAGAACTGATAGTCTAAAAAGAGTGTTACCTAAGTACTTTTGTTTATTTTTGTGTGAACAAAACATGCTGAGATTTTTGCTGAAGAAATCAGAATAGGTGCTACTTTATTAAATGAAGAGGATTTACTGACATCTCTAGGCTTATTGAGATTGCTTTAAATTTGATCAAATCAATTCCTAATTTACTTGCTGTTATCGATGTCTGTTTTGTCAAAAATTCGAAAGAATATAATATACAAGGTAACGCTCGTCTCCACTCGCTCGGTCCCTTGACATTATTAAGTTGGATCTGCGCAAGCGATTTTTATGTATAAGGTTCGTAATCTGATATAAATATATCTAATGTCTGTAGAAATCTAAACATATTTCTGAATTCAAAACAATGCTCACACTTCCCTTCGGTCGACGCTCGCTGGAGACCTGCCTAAGAGATCTTCTGGACTTTTTCTGTTTTCATGTGTAAGGCTCAGAATCTAATATGAATATAAAGAGCAAAAATCTGAAGAGGTCTAAAACTATTTCTGAATTGAAAACAATCCTCACGCTTCCCTTCTGTCGGCGTTCACAACCAGTATATATGAGAAATGCTATGAACTTGTCTAAACCATCTAATGTATTATAAAGCTAAAAGGTTTTCTGCACACCCTCTGCAGATCCCAAGAAGCTTGGAAGTATTTCTGATTGATTTGTTATAACAGATTATCTATACACTGTCAATTTTATTATCCGTATACCACTCTTTTTGTATTGCCACAGTTGACGGCTATCTGGCGACATCTACCCCCGGCCTACAGAAAACGTTTGCTTAGCTGTTTACCTGTCTGCATCAGTAGATATTTCAGATGATCTCTTTGAATATTTTCTCTCTTATGTAAAAAATAATTTTCTAATTTTGTCTCTTGTGATTCACTTATCCATAGAATATCTGACAGCCATTTTTCTGTATTGTGCGCACACACACAGTGTTTCTAACATTACGCGTACGCCTTTGTTCCAAAGCGTACGGTACGCGAACTAAATTGAAAATACGCTTTGTATCAACCAATAGAAAAAGACAGAACGATAAAATCCACGAATTACCACGCTTATGTACGCGCTGCTCAAAATTCTCATTAGAAACCCTGCACACACAGACAACTATTTTGTAAGGCCTTGTCTACACTACACTACAAAAGTTAAAGGAGCTTTAAGCAATTCTATTGGCTTAAACTAACTTTTAGCCAATAGAATTCCTTAAAGCTCCTTTAACTTTTGTAGTGTAGACAAGGCCTTAGAGCCTAGACTAAAGTCAAGGCAAAATTGATGAAATTAGGGTAGAACTGAATGTTGTTGACGGTCGATGTCAAAAATCATTCTGTATGGAAGAATCTCAAACGAACTTCAAATTGGATTAATGTAACCTATAGTGGTAGCATCAACAAATGTCTGTTTTAGATCTTCAAGATAGTTTGAATGAAATCTTTTGAAATTACTATTTGTCTCCAGTGTTACTTGCTTTTGTTTTAGATTTATAACTGCTTTATTATAGCTTTTAATTTTCCGTAATGATAATTATTACTTTCAGTGAATGTAAAGAAGATTTTTGGATTGTCAATGAAGAAGATGATATTTAATTAAATTGTTTATGTATATCTCCTTGTTCTTATTTACAGCTTTTGACTCACTTGCATTGTTATTTAGCTGGTAAATATTTCTAAAACGAACAGTTCGAACAGATCCGATAAACAATAGAACAACTTATTGAAAGTATTAAGAAAAAGTAGATAAAGAAAAAGAACAAAAAATAGAGACTGCTATTAATAGTGTGTTAAGTAACATCGTTAACATTTTTCTTTCGAACAGACGAATATTCAATTCAATTATAAATGGATTGCACAACACTAAAAATTACAATTGAAAAAAGTAAAGAAGAAATTAATACTGATTTTGAGCATTACATGTTTTAAGAACAAAATATTGAACCAGAGTATGGTTAACTAAAACGGATCGTCAGCATCAGCCATGATATTATTCTGACTCCACCCGAAGATTATACTCTATTGAAAACGCTTCAACAGCCAAAATACTAACTTTTGTTTAAAGTCATTAAAATATATATACTATTAAACTAGTATCACCCTGGGATGGCGATTGTCAAAGTGAACGCCAACGTCAAATAAGTCCATGTCTGTTATTTCACTTGATTATTACTGAATTTGCATCACTTTTATCGTTCAATCCCAATAAGAAAAATTAATTAAAAGTTTAAAAATAAGAACAGAACAGTTTAGACGATAATAGCAACAACAGCCAGATAAAAAAGATCTCAGAGAAAAGCTCAGAAAGAATTCAAAAGATTTTCCTCAGCTTTAATTATGAGTTATATAAACTGAAATTTCGGAAATTTCTCCGAAATAATTTTTCTCTCAGCGCCGTATGCGCTCACGAGTAGATGATGCACTAGAGAAGCGCACGGGTACCATTTTCGTAACCGTACCCGATCCGAAAATTTTTTTTCCACCCGTACCCGATCCGATCTGACAACTTTGTACCCGTACCCGACTTATGCCTAAAAGTTTTTCTCCGTTTTTTTTTTCCAGCTAAAAACTTTCGTTTTTCGGCTGAAGATATCAAATTATTATTACGTTCTTAAATAATTCTTTTTAAACCTTCGTGTATTTTAGTTAAACTTCTGTATTTTTCCACTAAAATTTTGTGGGTTTTCCACTAGAACCTTACGGTTTTCGGATAAATTAAAAAATTAGTACCCGTATCCGGCAACTTCGTACCCGTACCCAACCTTCGGATCGGGTGCACATCTCTATACTGCACTCCAGCACTTTGTCATCGAGTATATCGACAAATTCACCATAGCATAAGAAAGATTAGTGTTTTAATACCAGAAAGTTAATTTTGTTCTACAAACTCGGCATCACATTAGATAGAATGGGTGGTTGAGTTTGCTTTAGAAATTCATTCGCAAAAAAATACTAAATATTCGAGAAATTCAACATTCGCAGTAAAACGACTGCTAAGTCGGCAACATCACAACCACTAAAAATGAATAAAAACCGCCACTTCAACAATAGATCTGAAATTGTTTTTACTGTATCAGAGCTGGGCAAGTCACGGGTTTTCCAAGTCACAAATCAAGTCAAGACATGAGTCATAACATTTTCTCTTAAATCAAGTCACAAGTCATGATTTGAAATTTTTTTTTCGTAGAAAAATACCCATAGCAGAGAGAGCTACTATGCATTTCAAATTAAAAGACCGATGGCGGTTTCTAAAATAACTGTTGAGCAAAAAAGTAGCTAGAAAGTTCTGGCTTTGGCCATTCGAAAGAGGAGACTTGCGGACATGTTTCATAAGCAGAAATGTTTTCTGGAAAGTCTTTTGAAAATCCCACTGTGTCTCAAAAATTTCTAATAGGGTTATATCGCTTTTATATAGCTCAGAGTGTCGTCTTCAAAAGGGAGTCAAGCGAGATCTTGATGTTCAGCGGTTCGGGTGAGGTATCGGATTTCCTTCGAGTCCCAGTACTGATACCCGGTGACTATCAAGTCACAAGTCAAGTCATTTTTGATTTGACTTGCCCAGCTCTGTACTGTACTGTATTTTTAAAACTTTATATTTCGTCATGTTGATATTAAACAAACATCTAAATTTAGCACATGGTATCGAAATGCGGTTTTAAAAAAAAGTAAATCGTCTGCAGATTATATGTTGAACAAGAAGAATCATACGGTACAATTTGATAAATCTATTATGATCAGAGACGTCCACTTTAGCTTCGTTCAAACGTTATTTAAAAAACAACGAGACCATGCTTCTTTAAAGTCGATAATAGTATATTTCTATAGAAACGTATTACTATTATCGACTTTACTACACATAAAAATGAAAACCTAACCCATGATGTCCTTCTGATCAAAACATTGTTTTCAGAGTAAGTCACATGCGGAAAAGTTACTGAAAGAAATATAGTATAAGAAAGATTTGGTCGTTTTGGTATTATGGACTGGACTGAACTACTTTTTTAGAGTCCATGGACTGAAAAAACTATTTTTCATGGACTCGGACTGGACTGAACTCAGCATTTTAAGTCCATATGGAGCTCTGCTACGCGTGACGTACAACACAGTTTTTCTGACTTGTCAGAAAGTCTTACAGGATTAATAAGTGTGTGGATGACTCAATCAGTTGAGTGAAAAAATTCTTCGTCAGACTAACCTTCTATCCATACCACTGAAAGTTCTTCTAATACTCCGAGCTCAGTCCCGTCCATGGACTGAAAAACTCTAGTTCAGTCCAGTCCGAGCCCATGAAAAATAGTTTTTTCAGTCCATGGAGCCTAAAAAAGTAGTCCAACCCAATCCACAATATCAAAACGACCTGTTTTTCCTCGATGCAAGTGAATCCAAAATGTTTTTCGAGTATAAAATCAACTATGGACTGACGAGGGAACCACCCGAGGTGGTAAATCGCATATTGATCGAAATCTAGAGGGTTATAGATTATCGACCACGCCGACTCCTAATATGACCGTGAGGTTTCCCTATGACCCTTCGAAGATCTGATTTTCTGGAAAACCAGTTTTTCAGAAACTCTAAAAAATAACCAAAACCTTTCTTAACGAAATATACTTATAAATTTTTTATTAAATGTTTTTTGTAAGTTCTATAACTTTGCAAAGAAAGGCGGTATAGGGCGGAAAGACATCTCATTTTAATCAGAAATTTGCGTGCTACAATTATATCTCGTTAAGAAAGGTTTTGGTTATTTTTTAGAGTTTCTGAAAAACTGGTTTCTCCAGAAAATGAGATCTTCAAAGGGCCGTGGGAAAACTCCATGATCATATTCGGAATCAGCATGGTCGATAACCTATAACCCACTAGATTTCTATCAAAAAGCGATTTGCCACCTCATCAGTGCGATTTGGGTCCCTCATCAGTTCAATCCATACGGAGCTCGGCAACAGTCCTTTACTCTCGACAGCTGATCCTGTAAACTGAACTTGACATTCTTATACCTTTGTTCAAGCTTAATAAAACAGATTTTTATTAGTAATCGCTATCTCACGGTGTCAGCTTACCCTGGAAAAAAATCCGTTTTTTGACATGACACGTTGTCACCTTGTTATAGCGATTCTTCAATGTTCGCTGATGTCCGAACACAGTACTTTTAAAATATCTGATAAACAACATGACTTTCATCGCATATTACCAAAAAAGTATAATTTAAAACCAAAAACATTAAAAGTAATATTAATTAGAACAACTACATTAGAAAGGGCCATTTAGTATTTCTGTGACAACTTCTTCCGTATCATTAGTCGTCCAACACCGTTTGGCAGGTTTAGTGAACGAATGAAGCGAAATTGAAACCTTTATACAGTGCTTGTTTGAGTCTTAGTTCTAAATAGAAATATCAAGATAAATCTATTGCCCAATTCTAATAATTGGAGAAGTCTGATATTTAACAAAAGATCATTTTTCATGTCAAGGGCAAGAGCTAGAATTAAACATCGAAGATAATCGCATCTGATACAAAATTTCAGAATTTTCAGTAAATTATGAATAAGTGCGGATACGACGAAGCGATATCGAGGTGAGTGTGAGTAGAATTTTAAAACATTTCAAACGTAAGATGACATGCCTGAAAAATAAAGGTATTTCTTGATGCACTGAATCTGAAACGGAAAATATAAACTGGAATATTCATTGATTATTAATCGCATAGAACTCTAAATTTACAGGTAATTCTTTGAATTAATTCATCGGATTAGATACTAGAAGAAATTGCGAAAAGAATTCTATGCCACTAAATGGTATTGGATCACGTCTCTTTGTAACGTTGTAATGTACTTCTCTCAACTAGTTGTAACAATTTAAAATATTTAAATATAAAATTTTGATATGACCCACAGGATTATTATTCATTTCTAATTTATCATCATGCAGCTATTATAATCTCTTGTGTTTCATATAACAAAGCTGAACACGTTCATTGCATAACCTTGTACTTATGTATGTGTCATTTTTCATGTGGTGACTAATTTCATTTGTTAAATATATTTAATATTTTTGTGTCCTCAGCTTAATGTGAAATATTTAATCAAATAGATATGATTTAATGCCTTAGAGAGAGAGAATATAAAGTTTAATATGTTAAAACGATCTTTAATCTAAACGGTATATTTTATTGTCTTATGCCATATAGGAGGAGTTATGTAACAAGAATTTTAAATGCTAAATAAAATTTTTGTTATGATAGAAACATATCATATAGATACAACAAATATGTGTGTGTGCGTGTTTATGTATATTCATTAGCAATTGCAAAGTTCATATTTATATTGATTATGTAAGAAAACAAACTGTTTGACCACACGAAATAAGATAGAGACCATAAAAAAAAACGACGTTTCACATCGAAAATGATAATAAACAAGAAATTTACGTTTGTTAATTATTGAAAACAAATTTTGTTATTCATAACACCAAATTGAAAAATTTTAAAAGCTTCTTCGATCACAATCGATTGCAGATTCGTCTTTTCCATAGTCGATTATCTGATACGCGATAACTTTTGAATCGGAATACTTCAGAAGACTTTTTCGACATCGTTTTACCTCTGGTCCCATGCTGTGACTTTTTTCGAAAATACGTCAGCAAGACCATGATCAACTTTTTCTCAAGCACTCCGATCCAAAAGTTATCGCGTACCAGATAATCAATTATGAAGAAGATGACTCTGCAATCGGTTTTGATCGAAGAAGTTTTTAAAATCTTTCGATTTGACGATATGCACAAATCTTCCAGAAGATTGACAGACACTTTAATAATTCTGCCCGATTTCTAGAAATCGACTAAACAAACATACACTTAAAAACATTCAACGTGAAGAAATTACTAACAGAAAATCGTTTATATTTGAGAATGTATTCCTTGTGAAACTAGAGAGGTTAATCAAGTTTTACAATTTTTATGACTGTTGAGTATCTCCATAGGTAACTCATAAAAATGATGATGTACAATGCCTCAAGATAATCATCGACCTATGTAGGTGCATGTTTGTAACTTTGTTGTAGACAGTTTTAAATTTTTTGAAGTGTCTGTTAGACAAAGCGCATATAGACACATATAAAGAGAGCAGTTAAAAATCTTTCAAATGCATGTGTATATAATGAGTTAAAGGGAAAGTGTGGAGGCAGTGTATATATATATATATATACATATATACACGCTACTGTTTTTTCTTTTTTTTGTTCATTGAATGGATTCGTAGTTTTACTGTAAAATAATCTCGATATAGAAAATATATATTTCTATTAGTAAAGATTATAGAGAAAGTGTGTCCGGAATGTTGAATACTAATGAAGTGACCAAGAAAAACAAAACACTTAAATAAAAATGTAGAGAGAAAAATGACGAAAGAAAAGACGAGGAACTGACACACTAGTCAACTAACATGTAATAATAATTCACTAATATGATGAGAAATCAAACATATGCGTTGTAAGAATAACTGAACTGTTAAGTAACGAGAAGTATGTGTGTATACTAGTGGCTGTATATCACAAAATGATATAGTAATATGTGATGATAAACATGCACTTATAACTTGTCACAAATACAAGGTTAAAAAATCATTATTGTATGTGTATGTGTCGAGACAACAATCTCTATTAAACAGTTCATCTAATCTAAAACTTACATTTTATTTTGTTCAAGTTATGATATATTTTAAACTCTGAGTTTATTCTATAATTTAATTTATACATTCGAACAATATACTTGTTCGACACAGTGAATCAAATTTTCTGTTATCTACTGTTTTCTACGTTTTGTTCAACAGATCTTCATTTAGTAATGTCAATGAAACTTATTATCAAAGCTGGTCAAAATATACGTGCTACGAATATACGTTCTTCTTCTTAAACAAGTGGAAGATGAAAATATTCAATAATTGCACAAGACAAAGAAAAGTCTTATTCATGAAATATAAATTTAATATGATAAATCTGTCAGATAACCATCGCACATGTCTCACTCATTTGTAATGATTATTATGTTTGAAGTGTTTGCATCGTTTAACGAAATTCAGTATTTGACCTATTTCTGAACAAATGAAGAGAAGAAATAAAAAGAACTTGATCGTACCATATTTTGATAGATAAATATCTTGTACGTCGCCAGCTATGCTGAAATTTATTCTATTTACCTATAAGATGCCAAACACATTTATGTATAAATTTATTGAAACAGATACATGTTACAAAGTGAAAAACAATTGTTAACACGCAAAAGAGAAATGTTTTTCTGAAGTAGTTATCTTGCGTTCTTATTGTCATATATACAGATGTGCTATTAACTTAGCGAACATCTTCGGTAACTAATGAAATAATAGAAACTTATAAAAAAAAATAGTGTATACTTTGTACAAGTTTCTGTATGTACGAAAATTGAGAGAATGATACAAACCTTTTTCTTCAGAAAACTAGTATAAAATTATATCCGGTGACTTTCAAATTTATGAAGATTAGTTCGCTAAGATGTCCAAAAGAAAGTACAACAACAAAACTAAATATTTTCAATCAGTAATTATGCGAATTTTAGACAATCTCTACAGAATTTTATCCTTAATTATATTTTCTTCCCACGCTATTGTACACATTGGTTACTAAGTTTCTATTTTGTTCATCTACTTATATTCTATTGTTGTCGTCTCAAAAAACATATTATACACTATATTGTAATATTATTACAAATGAACATTAGAAAGAAGAAGAACGAAATAAAGAAAAAAAGGCGAGTCTCTCCTCCAATCGAACAAACATAGGAAAAGAAGAAGTCGCAATATGCATAAATTTATATATATATATACATATATCGCAAACCTACATACACTTGTTCATTATACTTTTCGCTCCCTCTTCATTTGATCCAAATAAACATCTCAGTTAGTTCACTACAATATATTTATCACTCACAACTACATATATGTATATATTTATTAAACGAGAAAAACATCACTACCGTCATCCTCATCATTATATCCATTTTTTTTTGGAATTAATTATTTTTGGTTCTAATCAACTATTATAATAAAAAAAAGGAAAGAGAAGAAAAAGAGAGAAAAAAATGCCAACAGCAAGTATGAATAATCTGAATAGATATTCAGTCGAATCATCAACATCATCATCCTCAACATCATCGTCACAATCAAATAATAAAAAAATTACATTTTTACAAAGAAAATCAAAATTATCATTTTGTTCAACATCGCATATACCCAAATCAGCTACACTTGACATGTTCAATATTGAAGATAAAAACAAAATCGTTCCATTATCTTGTACTGTTGCTACTACTACTACTACTACTACTAATATTAATAAAAACAATGACAATTATCAATCAACACAATCGTTAAATCCTCAGTCAAGAGTAATGTTTCGAACAACATTGAATCCACCAATTGCACGTGTATCACCGATTAGTCGTTTAGATGTAAATAATACGAATATTAAACCATCAATGATAGATTTATCAACAAAAACAATGAAACAACAACAAGAATGTTGGATGAGTTGTGAAGAATTGGAAACAATTGAAAAACGTTTTACCGATTTATTAGAAGGAAATCAAACAGATACATCTATCACATCTAATCGAGCAAAAAGTTGTGAAAGATTAAGATCAACGAGCGACGATGATGATAATAATTATGATATTTACAAGGACGAACAGTGTTCAACAAGTAAGTGAGAGAAAGAAAGAGAAAGATAGATTTATCATCAGTGCAAATATTGATATACATGTATATATGTATATTACATAAAACAGTTGACAGATCAATGTTCACGTTTTAACAAGAGGAAATGACAATATCATATTGTACAACATAGTCAGATCTTTTTCATATTTAGATTGGAGAAATAATAGAAATAAAGTTATTACTAGCATGTTGAAAATGCTAATATTTAAGCGATCGGAGGGTGTGATCGTCTCTAATTCAATATGTTTTTTCACTCATTACGTACATATATAGAAAATCAGACAAGGCAATCTTAAGTCTTTTCAATATCGTAAAAAAACTAACTATTTTAAAAAAAACTTATATTATTATTAAAACTAACATTGTTTAAACTGAAGATCATAGAGTACCTTTCAAGAACAAAATCTCGAATTATCCTTGGGCTTGAAAATTTAGTTTCCGAAGAATAATTCACACTTATTATTAATGATATAATAATAGTTCTGTAGCAGTTATCCGTTACTGTCTTTAACTTTTGCATAAAAACGCGTCTTATATCTTAATGTACCGATTTTCTATATTTTTTTTTATTATAGACCCTCGTAAATCATTGATAGACGATTATTCAGTAAAAAGAATAGTTGAATATCATCCTGCAAATGTGTTACTTAACAATGATACTCAGACAGTTCTGCATCATTCGAAACAGCTATCTCATTTAACTAAAACAGATAATAATGATTTTGTAGTAAGTGATCAAGATGTTTACATTGTCGAATCGTCCTACAAGTCTATTGGTTCAAAAGTATATGTATGCAAATGTATTGTCGAACTGTTTATAACAACGGCCGAACGTCTTTCAAAATTAGAAGATTGGATATTTTTTCAACGTGGTTTACCTGTTTGGTTATTTAATACAGGAATTAATCCTAAACGATTGAAATGTTTATCTATTGTATTAGCCGAAAAAGGTTCCGGTTTTCCTATATGGCAAGATATCATTACAAATAAAAGTGATATCAAATATGCTCGTGATCAACATATTACATTTCGTTTATCAGATCAAAAAACATTAGCCGTATTACGTTTTACAAATTTTCAACAATCAAAAGAATTTTTCAATTATTATGTACAACTAAAAAATGATCGACGACACGTCAACTTATTTCAGTCAACAGGAAAATTGTCATCATCATCTGTTGAAACTTATCAAATTCGTAGTGGCAATAACCTGAAAAATCGTAGTGCATCATGTGGTGCCGTTCTTAATAAACGTGTTAGTAAATCATCGATTAGTAATCCATGTTGTTTTCAACATATTACACAAATTCAATTAGCTGATCGACAGTTATTAACTACTCTAAGCAGATGTTTACCACCATCCATTGATATTTAAGAAAATATTTTTTAGCGAATTTTATACATTCATAAAAGTATTTATCTTTTTTTTCTACATTCCCTGTGTCAAAAAAAAATAATAATCAAGCAATCATCATCATACGAGTAATGGGAGATGTAGACTAGAACAAAAGAGTACACCATTTTGTAGAAGTTTTTTTTTGGGAGGGGTAGGAAGTTCGTCGGTGTTTTCTTCAGATTGTTAATTAAACAGATTTTGAAATTTAATTAATTTTTTGAATTCAAAGGAATTTGATCATTCTTGTTGATCTTTTCACATTTAAACTAATACTTTGCATACAAATATGAATTTTGCCACATTGGTTAGATCTTTTTGAAATATTGATAAAAGTTAAATATGAATATGATCGATCAAGTGTTTTTCTTTAATTTTTATTCATGGTTAAAAAAGTCCATTGTTTAATATAGAGTCGTTTATAGGGCACACTTTAAATCGAAAAAAAGCAATTATCATACGTGATATGATAGATAAAAATCGTGTATATATATATGTCTTTATCGGGATGTGTACATCTTTTAGCTTTTATGTACATTGTTTTATGAACCGAATAAGAAACAAACTTTTTTCAATAGTACGCGAACGACCACACTTTATCTATTATCTCTTGACTATTGACATGAATAGAGAAGTTGAATATTCACTTGTTGACATCGTATAGTATTCGATTTCGGCTGAAAGAAATCAAGATAAAAAAATGTTAACTGTTATTTTCCTTGCATTAAATTTTTTTGAGAAACTTCTCGTATTGACTATAGCTATAACCTTGCTTCAGATGGAGACACTGAAATTAAAAATGGCAAAATAAAATTAATATCCTGCTTGATTTTAGTATGAGCTAATTTGTCTTCGTTTATATGTGAAAAACTTTGTTGCTCTCACAGTGGCATTGTTGTTATGGGTATCTCTTTGGACTTTGGGGGGCTGAACATGAAATCATTGAAACTTGTAGAAGCCGCCTCCGTTTCTGCAGCATCGATTGTTCTTAGGTTTTTGAATAATCTCTATTTTTAATCGATGATCATTACGATCTCGCTAGAACTTCATCAAATTGAACTTAAATTTTTATCACAAGTGCATGAGATTATTTCTCAGATGTGGTTTCTTTCTGACTTTTCAAAGAAATCATTCTCAGTCAAATTATACAGTTTCTTCCGTCAAGAACTATGGACTTGAAAAGGTTTCTCAGTATTTTTGTTGTAATTATGGATTGATCGCTGCAATATTTTTCAAAATGTTTTAGAGTCGAGGGAAAAGGATCTCTGGGAAGGGTTAAACAACTTAACAAGCTGATTCATTTTTTTATAATTAAATTATCGTTCAAGCAACGACGATAAATAAATTGTTTTCCTTTAAAATGGATGACAAACAGTTGAATTAACGAATCTCACACTTGAACGATCCTATACAATTTGGAGAACGTGATTTATTTATTTATTATTAGCGATTCTGTAGCAGAAGAGTTATTGTTGCGGCACAACTTGCGATAGTCGAGAGAGGAGTCCCGAAAATAACTTTTTTTTTCAGAAATTCCGGGTTTGATAACTTTTGAGAAAGTCGCGTTCAATCGTGGACACGACTCGTGATGTGGAAATTAACCTTCAGAACAAACAATTAAATAAAATTCTAGTGTTTTTTTTTCGTTCAACTTCAACTGCAAAACAAGAAGGATGAATGAGTTCTGAGCCGTGACTCATATGGCGACTACTTTTCAGCGTTTCAGCTTTTCGCAGCGACTACACGAGTGTTGTCATGTCGAAATCATGCGCAGCGACTCACTTCCGGAGTTCTAAGACTTCTCTAGGATTGTGTCGCGCTAAAAACTCTTATTGTAACCCATTGCCAAATTTTTAACGTGACTGTCTCACCAAAACGAGAATATAAAAAAACGCGTTTTAATCCGGTTTTTCGCAGAAGCGTTGAAACGAGAAACTAGAAAAACGCCTTGCTTTCCGTTTGCTCAACGCACTGAAATCATAAGATGCGAGGAAATGAAAAGAGGTACCATATGTCATTTTCTAGTTTCGACACGTTTAAAAAAAAAACGTTTTGGAAGGCGAAATCAAACATGGCGTTACGTCGCATTTGTGAAAAAAACCGAGGAAAACTGAGTTTCTTTATTTTTTCGAATTACCCCATGTGGGGTAATTCCGGCCGATAAGCTATTTTGCGTGGGGTAATTCCGGTCGGTCCATTCAAATACATGGAGTTTTCTGGAACAAACCTCTGCTAATTAACGGTAAGTCATAATCAGGTAGAAATTACACCAGTTTGAAGCTCTTCTTCTCTTCTACCTGTCATACAAATTTGAAATTATTAGCACCTATTCTAATGAAGTTAATTA